CACATTAAAAATACTCGTGTTTAACATCAAGACACAATAAGACATAAGGTTTGAAAAAAGGCCCAAAAAACCAAATCGGCTGATATGATATGTTTGATGATCAACAGCCACAAAAAGTTATGCGCACATTTAAAATTACATAAAAAAAGTGCTTAATATTGGTAATTAAAATGTATTACGGCTCGAGTCCACTTTTGGGATAATTTTTGGGGCTTGTTTATTAATAATAATGTTACACATAGTAAATTAACAAATTTACGAAAAATCATTTAAATAACTTGCTTAAAAAAGGTTCTTTATTATTATGATAATAAAAATGATAACGAATAAAAAGTGATAGTGAATCAAATAATAAAAGTGATAATGAATCAATAGTGATGGTGATAGTGATAGTGAGGTAAGTTGGTGGGATACAAATTTAGATTCAAATTGTCCTTCAAGATGGATAAACCTTCTGCATGTCATTTCTCTTTACCTGAGGAATACACCACGAACTAGGCGACTACATGCTACACAAGCTAAAAAAATGACAGAAAGATAATAAATGGTCAAACAATTAATCAAAATAGAAAAAAATTTTGTCGTGTAACGTAATGAACCGCCGATCGATATAGTACAACAAATTCTTTTTAGGGTTGATTTTTTTTAATTGTCATGTATACGTAATAGTAATAGTATAATAGTATTAGGACCAAAAATTTCGCCGAGTCATTCGTTACTACTAAATACAAAGTATAAGGCAAAAATTTTTATTTCCACTTTTTCTTTACATATAAAAAAAAAAAAAGGCACCGAGTCAAGAAAAAAAATTTTTCAACATGGTAAGCAAGCAAAACAAACATAATAAAAATTATTTTCTTTGAATTGAATAAAAAGAAAAGTATGACAGCAATAATAATATTAATAATATTAATAGCAAGACAACTTTTCATCTCTGCACCATCGTTCTGCACTTCCGCTACCGCCCCCTTTTGTTTACTCTTATCAACAAGAACAACAACAAAATAACAATTCTGCTAGTAATTTAGAAAATACATTACCACCTATTTTACCACCAATTTCTCTTTCACCTCCTTCAACAAGAACTCGACCTTCTAGACCAAAGTACAAAGAAAATTCGGAGAAGACAGCATGGACAGCTGAAGAAGACAATTTGCTTCGTTTAGCTGTCCAACTATACGGTGATAGGTCTGAAAGATGGACTAAGATTGCTGCTTGTGTTCCAGGAAGGTCAAATAAAATGTGCAGAAAGCGCTGGTTCCATTCACTTGATCCTACACTGAGGAAAGGTCCTTGGACGGAAGAAGAAGATAAACTTTTGAGGAGAGCGGTGGAAAAACATCAAAAAGTCTGGTGCAAAGTAGCTGAATCTATTCCTGGCAGAACTGATGATCAATGTGCAAAACGTTGGAAAGAATGTCTAGATCCTTCAATTGATCACAATGAATGGACACCACAAGAAGATCAATTGTTATTGGAAAGATATGGAGAATTTGGTAGTAAATGGCAACAAATTGCAAAATCTTTTCCTGGACGTCCTGGATTACATTGTCGTAATAGATGGAGAAAAATTCAAAGACTTAAAAAGGCAAATAAAGATAACTTATTAGATATGATAATTTACACGCCTAATGATATAACCCCAAGTCCTTCTTCATCAAACCTAAATTCTGAAATATCTTTACAGCAAAATATAATGCCAAATTTACATACCACTACCACTACCACTACCACTACCACTAATAATAATAATAATAACAATAATAATAATAATAATAATAATAATAATAATAATAATAATAATAATAATAATAGTAATAGTAATAATACTAACGCTACCAACACTGCCTCTTTACAAGCATACATAAATACCAACAACTTTCACGCAAATGTTTCACCAAATATTCAACGAAACTTACCACAAAACAATATCCAAACAAATTTATCTTCAACTCTACAATCAAATAAACTTTCACAAAATTTACAATCCAATAATAATAGTAGTAATAGTAATAGTAGTAATAATAACAATAACAGCAACAATAACAACAACAATAATCTATCTTTAAACTTACATCCAAATATAAACATGTCACAAAACATTTCACAAAATTCTTTTTCAAATACATTGCAAAATTTTTCTTCCGATCCTCTACAATCTACCTCATCCAGCGGGGCAAGTATTGCATCTTTGTTATCATCGCCACATACAAATGTGCAACCAAATGTTCAAAATTCACAGTTGAACTTTAACGATGATGATAATTTAGATGATTTAGGTGTCATTCATGATGATGATATTTATCAAAATAATTTCAATAATAACAACAACAACAACGATAATAATAATTTCACTGATAATAATAATCACAGTAATTTTAGCAGTAATAACAATTTTAATTACAATTTCAACAATAGTCATAATCATAATCATAATAATAATAATAATAATAATAATAATAATAATAATAATAATAACAACAGTTTCAATAATATTAACAATATCAATAGTAACATCAACAGTTTCAATAACATCAACAATAATAATAATATCAACAACAATAACAATTTAAATAAAAATATCAGCAATATCAATAATAATATCAATAATCATATTAAAGATAACATCATTGCCAATGAAAATGACAATGATGATGTCGAAGACAACAATGAAAATGACAATGATAATTACAATGACAACAGATTCAGCAACGATCAAACAAATACCGTAGAACTTGAAGCGCTTCGTGCATTTGCATGTGGTGCTGATGGTTGTAATTCCCATTATTCGAATCCAAATGGATTGTATTATCATATGAAGGCAGCCCATCCTAATGTGGATTCATCCAAGAAACCTTTTAGATGTGCATTACCAGGATGTTCAAAAAAATATAAAAACATCAATGGTCTTTTATATCATATTAAAGAGGCAAAAGGTACATCCGGTCATCAGGCTGATAATGATGACGAGGAATCCCAAGACTCTGCCATAAAACCTTATAAATGCCTAGTTCCTGGATGTAAAAATAGTTATCGTAATGCTAATGGTTTACAATATCATCAAAGACATGCTCATGAAAAAGAATGACCTAAAAATGGCTTGATTGTATGTGTTTCATTTTAATCATCTATTTTTTTATTTTGTATATAATCAATCCATTTATTTATCATTATTAATTATTATTAAAATATTCTCGGAGGATATGATTTGGTTGGATGGGTTTTTATTGTACAACTTTTATTATTTAATATTATCAAATACATCTTCCAAATTTCAATTTGGAAACTATATATATATATATAACAAATGTACAATATAATATAATAAATAAATCAAATTTTGAGTACACATTAGACAAAAAAATAATTAATGTGCCCTTTCTTAACATTAGGCATTTTGACCAGTTCCTCGATATTTTTGTAGAGTATTACTACACTCTTGAAGATTTACAAATCAAGAAATTTACAACAAGTGCACCGTTCATTCATTTTAATTCCCAATTTTTTTAATTTCTTTTATCAAAAGAACCTGTCTCGTCTCTGCAGAAATAAAAGAACGATAATCAGACAAACACTAAACGTAGGTAGAATGACTTTGATGTTTAACTATTTGAAATAGCCCATTGCACAAAAACACCACACAAGTTAATTAATTAGTATATTTTCAAAACGATATATATAGAAAAAAAAATATGCCTATTAGAAAATGACATGGAATATCAAGAAAACAAAATAGGAGGCTTTTCAATGAAATTTTAAAGATCTACCACACGATATTCACAGTCATGCATGAGATTATATTGTATATTGGTTATATATACTTTTTGGGAATTTGACGAGATCTTTTTGTGACTCAATCATAATCAATTTAAATTTTTGCTGCGTCACATTCAATAACTTATTTTGGATAATTTTCTAATTAAAATAAAAATAATTATATTTCCATTCTGTTTTTCTCCTCCCTATATATAGAAGAATACATAATTTAATTAAATTATTTATATTTATTACCATTATTGTTATTGTTATTTCTTTTTTTAAAAAAAGAAATGGGTTGTATTTCTTCAAAACATACCTCAGATTCCTCTACTAGGGGTATAGGTTCAGAAGTATCCGAAAAAAAACCAATTAATTACAAATATCCTTTTCCAGAAAATGTTTATGGAGAAGATAGGTTAGTACTGCAACATTATTTATTTAGATATATTTGGCAAAGCAATTTTTCTTCTCCAATCGAAGAATCACTTAAAACTCCAGGCAAAAAAGTCATAGATGTTGGGTACGTGTGAATATATGTTAATTTATAATCATTGCAATTATTATTGTTAGTTTTATGTTATTTTTAAAAATTATAATTCTTAATTGAATTTATTCATTTATCTAATGCACAGATGTGGGAGTGGATCTTGGATATTAGATATGTCCAAAGAATATCCGGATGCAAGTTTTATTGGGATTGAACAAGATGAAAAGACGTTTCCAACCATAGATGACAAACCTAAAAATGTATCATTTCAAAAATGTGATTTAACAAAAGAACTTCCATTTGAGGACAATTCGATCGATTTTATTCATATGAGTTTTATGACTTCAGAGATTCTAGAAAAAGAATTGGAAGTAAAGATTTTACCAGATTTGATTAGAATTTTAAAACCAGGATGTTATATAGAAATAATGGATATTGACGCTGAGGGTAAAAACGAAGGACCATCTACACAAATTCTAATGTCTTCAAGTAAGCAAAAAAAAAGAATTTATTTGTCATGACATTTTTAATCTTGTGTAAAAAGTTCATCATTATCTAAACAAAATTTATTATTTAGTTCGATCGTACTACAAGTCTAAAGGATTCAATCCCCTTATAACATCCAGATTAGAGCCATTATTGAAATCAACAGGCTTATTATCAGATGTTAATTCAGAAGAATTGTTTCATCCTTTAGGTAGTTGGGATGAAAAAATAGGAGAAATAGCTTTAAAAGATTGGTCCCAAGCACTCAATCAATTAAAGGCCACCTTGGCACCATTCATGAATTTAAATGAAGACGAGTATCGTGAATATGTCAGATCTTTCAGAAATGAGGTTGATATATTTCAAACTTATTGGTCAAGTAAAAGAGCCTACGGTAAAAAAATTAATAATAATAATGAAAAGTAATTGTAAATTATAAAATGTTGATGATGTTGATGTTATATTTGAACGTTGTGTTGATTCTTGTAATTATTGTTGTTATCGTTATTGTAATTGACCTGTTTTAATTATATTGATTAAGGAGGTTTTTTTTTATTGAAGCAAGGAAAAAAAAAAAATATCCCGCACTATTTACTTACAACAACAATTACTCAAATTTTGTGTAATAAATAAGGACATTTATTTTTCAATTTTTTTCCCTAAAGAAACATCCGTTCTAATAATAATAACAATAATAATATTATTAGTAATAATAATAATAAATTCTAAATATAATATTTTTTATTTCGGTCATTTCCCGCAACACAACTATAATTACGTTCAAATTTATTTCTTTATTTATTTATTTCTATTTTATACATCTATATATATACATATTACAAGTACAAATTTAATCAATACAAAGAGATCAAAGAACTTTTTTAAATTCTTAACGTATTAATTAAATATTCAAAAAATAAAAAAATAAATTAAATTAAATTAAATTAAATTAAATTATATTATGAAATTTTTTTTTTTTTTTTTTAAATTTTATATATATTTTTTTTTGCTTATTTATTTTATTAATCACGAATTCTAGAAATAAAAAGTGTATATTATTGAGTATATATAAAATTTCTTACGAAAGAAACGAACGATAAATTTAAAAAAATAGTGTTTGTGAATGTGTGGTTTTTCTTATTATCGTAAAAAAGAAAAAAATGTGTGTAAATTAGTAACTTAAAAAAAAAAAAAGGTAATCCATTTACATAAATAAATAAATGTCCTCCTCATTTCCAAAAAATTAACCTCCCTCAGAATTTTACCCAGAATTTTTCTATCTCGACCAATAAATTAAATCATTAATATAACTAGCAAAATCATCATAGGGTTTTTCAGACGGAATATGAGTGAAGTTAGTTTGATCGTAATCAGAAACTGTGTCATGTTGATGAATTTGCTGCGATGCGTCCTGTTGATGCATTTGTTGCGTTTGCATTCGGAATGAGAAAGGGCAATTTGGAGGAGTCTGTATAATGCTATTACCACCGCTACTACAGATGCTACTGTCATAGGAACCCACATGTTCGTAAGAAGGGTTAATATGAGGAATGGGAATATAATTGTCGGGCGGAGCGGTGGTGGTATTTAGGGTATGGTCTTCCTGAATGAGCATATCAGTATATTGTTGATTTAATGGATTTAATTGATTTAATTGTAATGTATCAAAAGTAAGCGGACGATATGGTGGTGAAGAAACTGAATGTGTGTTATGGCCATAATAAGGTTGTTGTGATGATAAATAATCTAATCCCACAGGATTATTAATATTACGGACATTCATAAGTACTTCAAAGTCATGACTAACGCCTGCGTCAAAGTCGAGTTCTCCATACTCTGCTTCAATTTCATCAACAACACCATCAACCACAACATTTCCATCCACTTCAGGTTCTCCATCCACTTCAGGTTCTCCATCCACTTCAGATTCATCAACAGCATCATTTATTTTTTCTTTTTTCTCAGTAATTTCGGGATACTTGTATTCCTTGTAAACGACAACATTAATACTGAATGCTATTTGATATGTCTTGGCAAGATCTTGAAACGCTGCCCGAAGGTCATCTGTCGAGTATTTCCACATTAGTTTAACGTGTGTGGAAACTGTAGCAACTGATTTAAGTTTTTTGGTAGCTTGATCACCTTTTAAGCTAAAGTAATTTGAAATTACTTTGCGAAAAATAATGAAGCCGTTGGGACTCCGTGTTTTGCTTGTGTCGGTAATATTATAAATATCTTGAAGTGTTGGCACGCGCAATTCAATATTGAATACATTAACAATGATAAATGATTCGTCACTTTTTACTATCAAGTATGCTAACACATAGCTTTCATTCAACATTGCCTTGTACATTTCACATGTAGGTGGGATTACTTCTTTGGGATAAGGTTTATCATTGTTATGAGCATTTTGGTTCTTTGGTGCTTTTGGCATAATTTTTTTTTCTTTATTCAGCAAATTTTAATTTTATATCTTCCGTGAGAGCTTATTATTTATTTCTCAAATTAAGTAAATTAAAAAATTTTTGTAAGATCACAAGAATTTTATTTTTCTTGATCAGTGAAAATAAAATCACCGAATTTTGAGGAGAATTTAAGTATTATAAATACTTCTTGGTTTTATCATTTCTTTTCTGAATTCTTCATTTATTTCAACATAAATATAAACAAATTAAACGTGATCATTACAATTACTATTAATATTTAATTTCCTATGTTTTCTTCTTTGCTTTGTCACATGGCATGGTTGTAAATAAAAAAATAAAATAATAATATTGATGATCCATTGAATAACTATGGATTTTGTTGGTAAGCAAGCGCCTTATGATCAAATATTTATATTGAATATAGTAATGAAAAATGATTTTTCTGTAGTAAAAGAAGCAATTTAAAAAGGCGTAGCATCTGGAAAATCAATTCTTCTTTTGATTTTTCATTGATTAATAGAGAATTCCAAAACTTGATACACATTCAAAGAAACATTGAAAATCAAATTAGTCTTTTTTGAAACACAATATTTTTTATCTTTTTTATCTTTTTTATCTTTTTTATCTTTTCTATTATCAGATCATAAATTTGATAATAATATTGTTTGATAATCACCCACGAACTATACACACATACACACATATATATATGGATTGTTTGATATTAAAAATTAATGAAATTTATTTTCCTATATTTATAAATAACTATTTTAAAAAAAGATTTTTTTTTCGAAAGAATATTTTCCAAACTTTTTGAGTTTTTATAACTTATCAAATTCATCTATTTAATATTTTTCGGTAATTAGCGCTATTGTTTTATTAATAACTAGAATCTAGAATTTTTAAAAAATATATATCTTTGACAATGAAAATGTTGTATGCATTATGACTTATAATAAATCATTTTTGTGTGTATGTTCAACACTGGCGTCTGCTGACTGGCACATGCTTCAAAACAAACAATCGATTTTTTTTTTAAGTAAAAATAATTTGTATATATTATGTATATTGTATGTGTATATTTTTATTCTGTCAATAATTTATTATTGCCATTATCGTTATTGACATTATTTTTATTGTTGTTGTTGTTATTGTTATTATTATTATATTGAGAGTGATTGTGTAAACAATAAACATTCGACATAGAGAGTGTGCGAGTGAGGCGAGAAAAGTGGGAAAAAAGAACGAGATTTATAGCAAGATTTGTTAATTTTATCATGTGTATACGTGTATATTTTAAAGGTTATGCAACACGCATACACACAACATATCAATACATACTTTAGAGAAAGGCGAAGACTTTTATATTTATTAATAAATTATGTCTTTTAGTGGCGGTGTTACGCAGTATCAACGACCATGGCCTCGTGCTTGCTTGCTTCCACTCGTCTCATCTATTTTTTTATTTTTTTTTTTTGTAATTATTATCTACCGCCATTGTCTATTAAAAAATTTTTTAAAAAAAAATTTAATTTATGATTGATTAAATTTGATGGATGGCATAATTATTGCAGGCTTAGGCTTATTTATTTACAGTAAATATTATAGTACGCCCTTTGGGATTTTTTTATTTTGGCTGACTTTTATCTGCTACAAACACCTCTAACTCGAGAAATAAAACAAATATTTAATTTTAGAAGGTACGAGAAAAGCCATTTATTTCTAAAGTATTTTACATAAATCTCAATAAAAATAACGAGACAATGGCATACTCTTTGAATTTTGAACCAAAAAGTCGGATATAATTTTTTAGTATCAAATAATCAAAAGGTTCACAAAATTATATTTCTTCTTCGTCATCATTGGCGTAATCATTGTCTTCATATGGGATGCATACTGAAACAAAACCAGACAAAGTGAACATTTGTATCGCCAAGAGTTTTTTCTTAAGTGGTATATATAGGACTACTCCTATATAAAAATAATTAATATGAACTCATTTACATCAGAACCCAAGAATTATAGTACAATCAAAAATGTTTTAAAGAAAGAACAAGGCGAAGAAATTGCTCCTTACGTTTCAATATTAATAATACTCGGGCACTTTAAACCTATCTATGGAAAGAAAGGATTATCTATGAAATTTATCAAGAAGAAAGAAAAACTATAACTAATAAAAGAGCATTAACACAGAACCATAAAGAACATAGAAAGGAAAGAAAATTGGGAGAGAAATAATTTGCTGCCTAATTTAACAAAGAAGAATGGATGCGCGTAGATTCAATGGTAGAACTGTTTGAACCAATATTTAAAGCAACGAATTTATTATCTACTAGTGCGTACCAAGTAATAAATGATGTATTTATAGGTCTCCAATATCACCTGGACCAGTATATATTATTATTAAATACAAAATAAAAGAATACTGGACGAAATCAACTATATTACCCACTCTACTCGACCCACGTTCCAAATCAAAAATATAAACCACTCCTGAAGTGACGCCATTAACAACCCTAGTTCTATCTATACTTTTAAATTTTGCACAAAATTAGGTCTTCAGACTGCGCGCACCATATTACAAATTCGTAAACTTACACCCCTACAAACCTTAACACATGCCCTTACAAACTGTACTAGCATCTATCTATCTAGAAACCATACATAAAACCTGTTTCACAATGTTCTTTGGACTGTTTTTTCATTAAATTAGATTATTAATAAGGTAAAAAAATTATCAAGTCAATCAAATATTTGTTACTTATTTTATAATTAATTTTTTTTTTTGTTCTTATAATGCTAGTGAAAATTATCAAACTTTTGTATATATACATCATTTACTCTACTCAAGAATTGTCTCTGAAAGTGAAGATAATGAAAAGTTTAATTTGTAATTTAAAAAGTATTAATGATATATATTTATTAATTATCCACAATTAATTTTTACTCCAACAAAATAAATATAATGGAAATTGTCATTCTCCCTGTTTTTTTTTACTTGCAGTGTAATTAAAAAGTAATACCTTTTGAACATAGCAAAGTTTATGAAAATCTAAAATGATTGAACGAGAAAAATATAATATATTTTATTGCATCATGATTGAACATTAACATAGATCCAGTATCCTTTTGCCTTTGATACATTTTCTAGTATATTTTTTATTCTGAATCAATGCATTATCTAATATGATGGGTTCAATACCAACTCTTGCTAAATACTGTTGTCTCTTCCTAACATCACTAGAGTCACTATTTGTTTTTTTCCTGAATCCTCACTTTCATCTTCAGTTGTACTTTTATCTGTGTAAATTGGAAACAGATTAAGGGCAAATACATATAAATCTCCTGATCCCCATCACCAACCATGTTCTCTCATATGTTGTGATCACTCTATATTTCAATTCCTTATCTGACATGTATCCTGTAATTTGTCCAACTATAATATTGGAATTTCTGTGCCTGTCAGTTCTCACTTGTTGTTGCAACTTTTGAAGATTCATTTTGAAGATATGAAGCTATCAGGTCATCCATGTCTAGTATCCATGGATGCTTTACTTCAATCAACATTTTTAAATTATTACCATTAAAAATACCTTGTCAGAGTCAGACATCTGTGAAAGCAATTCACTGCTAGTTCCAAATTTTCCTAATTTCATTTCAGTAGTTATCTGGTTCATTATACTCCAAAAATTATTGTTAAATTCTCTCCAGATGTCAGATTCTCTTGAAACTATTTGTGTTTCAACAAGAGATGGATGTCCTTGTAAATTTCAAATTATTTTTTATATCAGAGATAAATTTGAGAACTTCTTCCTCCAAAATGAAAAAGAAGTGGGTGTTCGTGGATTTGTCTTGTTTGATGATCTATCAGTAGTTTTATAGATTGAGATGACCAAAGGTGGAGGAGTACAATTGAGAAATTCGACTAATGAAACTAGAAATTAAATTAAGTCATTAATGTTTTATAATCATTATTTAATGCCAAGCAAGCTAATTAACATATATAGGTAATAAGAATGCTTGACTAGAAATTTTGAATTAATAGATGATAGAAGTAGAGGACCCAACTCGGCTCGGTCCCGCATTACGGGTGGGAATAATTAACGAATGCGGGCTGGACCCTGGTTGATACTTATACCCAGCATTTACAGCGTGTCAAAATTGGGCTTCTGTTTGAATAAAAAAAATAAAAAAAGTAATTTGAATAAAACAATAATAATAATAATTAATAATAAGACAAATAATTTCGAATTATTCGATCAAATAAATAATTTTGAATTTGTATTATTTGTATTACAAATAGAAATTGTGTAATTACACTGTGAGAAAAAAATTATTATTATTATTATTATTATAATAAGTAACATTCAAACAACAAGGAGATTTAGAACAAAAATGTAAACAATGCAAAATAAAATGAAGCTTGGCTGAAGTCTGTTGAAATTATAAATACAATCAATAAACACATTGTATATGTTGCTTACAATCAAATATATAAATATAATTATAAAGATGGGACATCTAGCTTGAAATGTCATGTATTAAGCAATCAACCAAGAATTACTTCTTTTTTAGAAAAGAAAATGGTTCCAGTAAGTGCTAAAGAAATATCAACAAAAAAAAATATGAAATTTGTTTGCAAAGCTTTATGTCATTTGAAATTATCATTGGTTCTGGGCTTTGTGAGTTTGTGCAGGAAATGATAAATATATCAATTGTGATTTGTTACCACATCCAACAACTGTATCTAGAAATGTATGTAATAAAAGCAGCAGAATCAATCAAATCATCATTGGCTGGGAAGTTGACTGATGTTTTCCAAAGAAGTGGTGGTGCTTTTACTACAGATTTATGGACTGATGATTACAATAAAATTCATTGACTGTTCATTATATTGAGAATTGGGATTTGAAATATCAGGTCCTAGCTGCTGTTAAATTTCTTGAAAACAATCATACAGCTGAAAATACTAGAAGAACTGTCTTTAATATATCGAGATGGTATAATCTTTTTCCAAGCTCTAATATGAAAAGATTGCCTTTGTAACTGATTCTGGTTCTAATTTTGTTGCTACTTTTCATGCTTATGACCACTTGGCCTGCTTAGCTCATAATAATAAATTTTTTTTTTAAAAATTAAAATAGTGTTAGATACTTCTTTCAAAGAAGACAATTTTCAACTATCTTCTATAATAAATACAATTAATGATTGTAAATCATTAGTTACATTTTTCAAACAAAGTTCTTTGTATTCCAGATTGGAAAAAAACATTCAAACAAGAATATAAAACAAAGTAGAACAGTAAATTAGAAATGCTCAAATCTGTTTATGAATAATTTATAATCTTCTTGAAGAAAGAGATGAATTGAATAAACTTGAAAATGTGGATTTGCAAACATTACAAAATTTAGTAATATTCCCAAAGAAATTTAAAAAAGCAAGTCAATTTCTAGAAGCTTCTAAACAATCTACATTACATTTAGTAATTCCTTGATATAAAATATTATTAATGCATTGTAAAGCAAATGAAAGATAGTTGTTGCTGAAAAGATTATAATAAATGATTTACACCAATTAACCATTTTCTTTGATCCATGCATGAAATAGTTAAAAATCCTAGGTCTTAATGATGCTAATTAGGTAGAAAACGAAATTAGAAATTAATGGTTTGATATACCAGTTCAAAATAATAATGGTGATGATTGTGATGATTGTGAAATTGTTGGAAGAGAAAGATCACCAAAAAAAATCAAAAAAATCAAATATGAATTTTTTTAGATTTCAATCGATATTATGATTTGAGTGATAAAGATGAAAAAATAATACAGATGAGATTGATCAGTTATTATTGAAAATACAAAAGAATTTGGATTTGGATATATTACAATGGTGGAAAGATCATCAACTCCCAATATCCAAAGTTTGCAATGTTAAATGCTTATTATCCTTCATTTCTCACTTCTAGTGCATCAAGTGAGAAAGAATTTAGTGCAGCAGGATTAACTGTCAATCAACTTCATACAAATTTAAACCTATAAACAGTGGACAGTATACTTGTGTTGCGAAGTGCATTTTAATAAATGTTAATTTTATATATAAATATAAATACTAATATTCTGTTAAATATATATAATGTTAAATATAGGTGATTTGTTAAATATTAATAAAAATTTTTTGATCTTTTATAAAACTGGTTGATACGGGCTGGTCTGGGTCCAGATTGGTAATTTTTTTGTATATGGGTTGGGTTAGGGTTTAAAAATTATGATTTGATGCGGGTCCGCAGGTCTCCAGATAGAAGAAAAAGGCAATTTAAATAAAAAAATACAAGCTATAGTGCAGGACATCTATAATGGTCAATGATTATCACATGATTTTAAAAGCTTATTTAAAAAGAAAAAGAAAAAATTAATCCGATAAATTGAAATTAAAGACCTAAGCTTCATTTTCATCGGTTTATTTTTTTATTTTGTTAGAAAAGTTGTGAGTTATAAGGCTTCAAAGTTAAAACCATTTTATATATGTCTATAAAAATTGAAAATTTCGAAAGGCTGATGATCGTCTTATTTACTTGATTAGAATGATTTTTAATAATCATGCAAGCGGTATGATCATATCTTTATTGATCCGAATATTATCAAAGCCACTTGAAATCCGAATTTTAGTTGTTAAAACATATCTGGATATCCGTCGAGTTTCAACCGTTGGTTTAAAAGATTGTTTTTTTCTTTATAGTTTCCCTTTGGTAATTAATTCCATGAAAATTATACAAATGATTAATTGAGTTCCCAATTGATCCATTTATTATTTTCACAAGATGATTACAAACTTCACCCAAATCGTTAGGTATTCCCATCTTGAACACGATCAAAAAATAGCCATGTTAATTGTAGAATTTAAAAATATTTAATTATTAACGAATTGTTATCTAATCTCAGTAGTACTACTATCATTAGTGTTAGATGTTGAATTATTAGATCCTAAAACTATATCATATCATAATCACTAATATTTTCTTGTTCAAAATTATCATCAGAATCAAATAAATCTATAATATTTTTCCTTAACATTATTGTAATTATTTATTTATATCAAAAAAAAAAACAAAATTAATTGTTCATATTACAAGAAAAAATCTCGTATAGTACCACTACAAACAAATAAATTCGGGTAAACTCGGATATTAATATTGATTTTGTTTATCCTAATCCGAAATTTTGATCTTAATATCCCGCCCGGATCTCTGAAAAATCAATTATAGATACAAGCTCTATATGTGTATGTGTTATGAGATCTTTATCTAGTTATTTTTTCAATTCTATTATTGTTTTTTTTATCTCTTCTACTTTTTCCTAAAGAAAATGATTGTAAATAATGTAGAAGATAAGATAATTATTTTCTTCATAAATACTTTTAAACTATAATAACGACACTTACCCAGTGGCACCTTCCAAATTCTTTTGTTTCGATCATTGTTTATTATTACGCGCGTGTTATATATTTGATGCGAATTAAAAATTACACAAAATATCAAAATATTATTAGATGATTATTATCATCCATCCGTCGTCGTAAAATTTTTTATATATTTAGAAAGCAAAATATATAATATATAAACATAAATATTTTTTTAAAGAATATTCTTTAGTGATAGCAAAATAAGTAAAATGATGGTAATAGTAATAGTATATACTGATACAAGATAAATTATAAAATCTTTTATTAATAGTATATATTGATATAATCATTAGAAGATATACATTGATTATAAACAATAAAAGCTTTTTATATTACAGGATGTATATTTATATTACGGAATATATTTTTTAATTTTTAATTATAAAAATAATATTAGTAGAAAGGGCAATTTTTTTATTAATAGGATATATACTATTATTATTTCTTGATTGGGAGTATTTCCGCAGCTGATCATATAATAATAAGAAATTCTAATCGTGATAGAAAATGTAAATTGGATTATCATCTAGATTAAAAGAAAGTGGTATCATTGCAAGACAGACAACCTTGCAGACAAATTGTAACTGATAATGAACAAATAAATCTTGACTTAAAATTACGCGAAGCTGATATTCCATTGGAGAAGCTAAACAAATTAAAAAACCCTTTCTATCAAATATTGTAAAAATGGTAATTATATTATTTATTTATGTAGGCCTCCTGGATAATTCTAGTTGAAGTGGTAGGGAAATCTAATAGTAATTTTTGAAAACTTATCCACTTTTAGGATTTTCTTTATCCATTTAAAATATCACACTTAAAAATTCTCTACCCATTTTTTTTCAAATGACATAAGAAAATTTTATAATTTTACTCACTTAAGTATACGACTTCATATAAATAAATTTAAGCTTTTTTCTATATTTCTATATATCAAAATTAAATTTTTAATATTATCCATTGAATCAAAATAAATTTTGTTTTTTTGGTCAATTCTTAATAATCTTATTTCAGAGTCCAACAATAAACCATTGTTCCCCGGGTATGGTTGGCTCTGTCTAAAAGACCTCTTCTTGCTGCGCCACACTCTCGAATTTTCAAAAATTGCGATTTCGTGATTCATTCCAAATTTTTTCAAAAAAGGTTTCGCGTGATTTTGGTTAAAAATCATTTTCCTTACTGCCAAATTTAGATATGATGGTCGAGTATTAGTCTAAATTTAGCAATGATTCTAACGCTCGAATTCCTCATGAGCATAGTAAAATACATGTTTTAAAAAAGAATAGAACTCTACAACAAATATTTTTTGAGAAAATCTCTACCAAAGAGCTATTGTATCAACTAATAGTGCTATTTTTAAAAGTTAGGACAGAAAATGACTTCTATACTTTTAAATTTTGCACAAAATTTAGGAGTTCTTTAGATCAAGCTGACTATAGTATTTTAGACAATAATATTCAAATATTTCATGTATTTATATATTGGTCATTATGAAAAAATAGATATCACTTACATATAAAGATCTTTATTACTCAATCCATCCTTACATTGCTGTTCAAATGATTCTTGATAAATCACACCATCCCATTCTTTAAACTAAAATTTATCATCATAAAATGAAATGAAGTATATAAATTTGCATCATTTTTTTTTTTATAATAAATAAATGCATTTATGTATGAAAAGCCCTTTAAAAAAACCTTCAAAATTATTTAGTGTATCTTTTAAATATTTGCTTGGATAAGGATGTAAAATGTCTTTTGTGAGTTAACAAGATATTTGTCACTGTTGGTTGAGTAACCATTATATTGATGTTTCATTAAGAGAATTCTGTCTCTTAAAAATGAGATTGAAGGTAACTGAGAAACTGACTGGTTTTGTAAACAAGGAAGGCTTTCCCATGGTAACATTTGGACATATTTATCCAAAATTAAAATAATATGTTTATCAGTTCTTGAATAATTGAAACTAGTATACAGTCATACCTGTCTATTTGCATACTTTTGGGAGTATGTTTATTGAGTGTAAAAGTCACGTGGCATAAATTATAAATGAACACACTTCATAATCATTTGTGATATTGATATTCTTGAGTTGCCACTCACATTTTTAGAATAATTTTTATAATTATAAGTATTAAATTTATTCACACAGATATTGTCATCAACACATTACTAACAATGAAAAAAGTTACTTTAAACAATGAACAATGCCATCAAATTTGTTTAAAAAAGCAAAACGTTCCAAAAATCATTCAAAAAGAATTAACTGCTTGGTGTGAATAAGAACTTGGTGCAAACATTGATCAAACAACTATCTCTCAAACATTAAAACGTTCATCTGAGTATTTAAACAATGAAGCAAACCCACAGCAAAAAAAAAAACACATGATGTGAAGTATCCTGAACTTGAACATGCACTCCAAGAATGGTGTTTACATTCACAAGGTCGCATTCCTTTAACAGACCCAATCTTAATTGAAAAAGCTAAAACATTTGCAAAAATGTTTAATATACCTGATGATATATTGTCATTTTCCACTGGGTAGCTTCAAAGCTTTAAGAATAGGTATATTTCTGCATTATATTAAACTAAGATTATTAACCTTATCAATAAAAAATTACCACACTTGTAGAAATAATTTGAAAAGATACCAATTACATGGAGAAAGTGGTTCAGCTGATATTAATGCCCTTCCTGATCTGAAAACAGTCATCAGCACCTTAAATCTGAAGATGTATATAACATGGATGAAATTGGTTTGTTCTTTTGGCAAGTATAATATTAAACTATACATACTTAAAATATTAGTAAATTTTAATGAAATTTAATGAACATAGACTTGAGCCTGATAAAACTTTAGCAACAAAACAACTTGAGGGTAAAAAAAAGGATAAACAATGTTTGACTGCTGTACTTTGCTATAATACTGATTGAACTGATAAACTAGAACCACTTATTATTGGAAATCCTTAAAATCTTGATGCATGGGAAAAATTAATATGAATAGTCTTGGATTGTCTACAATTCACTCTCTCTATAACGAACCCTCATTATAGAGAGAGAAATTAATTATAAAAAAATTGAAATGGGGACAAAAGGGAAGTTCGTTATAGAGAAATATTACTTAGTGGTTGTTATAGAGAGGGTTGTTATAGAGAGAGTAGACTGTATAGAGCAAATGGTAAAGCATGAATGGCAGCAGTTTTATTTCAAGAGTAAGTAGTATACAAGTATATTCACTATTGATAGTTTACTTTATGAATTGCTTTTTATAAAGTGCTTTAACTGTAGATGGTTAAAACAATTTGATGAAAAGATAGATGGCAGAAGAGTGTTATTGCTACTTGACAATGCACCCTGTCATATATTTAGAGAGATGGAATTGCAAAATACACAGGTTAAGTTCTTACTACCTAATTGCAAATCAAACCTTCAACCTTGTAATGCTGGAATCATTGCCTCTTTCAAAATAGGGGTCTGATTCATTTTGTCAACAATCATTTTGTCAACAGTCATTTTGTCAACACCCATTTCATCGAAAGTTTGTTTTGTCAAAAGTTCATTTTGTTGAATGTTCATTTTGTCAAAAATTATTTCATCACAAAAAAAACTTCATTAAACAAATTTCCCCTCACACTCTGCTTTCCTCACCTAATTTCTTAACTAACTTCCCACACTCCCCACATCTAACTTGTTTGGTCTCTGGCTCAAGGATGAAATAATTTTTGACAAAATGAAAATTTGATGAAACAAACTTCCAACAAAATGAACTTTCAACAAAATGAACTTTCAATGAAACAAACTCTCAATGAAATGGGTGTCAACAAAATGATTGTTGACAAAATGATTGTTGACAAAATAATTTTTGACAAAGTAAACACAACCAAAATAAAAGGTTTTCTTTTTTAAAAATGAACTCAAAAAAAGCAAAATAGACCTTAAACCAACCTAACCAATAATTTTTAATGTTTTCAAGTAAAAATTTCATCTTAGCATCTAATTCCTTTCTTTTCTCCCACCACTCTAGCTTTTGTTGTTGACTAGTGATCACAATCATCATATTTATGAATATTCATTAAGGAGGTTACACTTATCAAAAATGCAAAATCCCTTAAAGGTAGAGTTCAATTACACAGCACATCATGGCAAAAACAAGTCACAAGACTACAATTTAAGGTTTGAACAAACAAAACTTGTAAAATTGTGAAACTTAAACAAAACTTTGTATATATACTCTCTAGGATTAAGGATATTGAATGGTGTGCTTTTGATAAATTTTGTTAATAAAGTTTACTGAAAAGGTAATGTGAAGTTCAACATATGTCACGAATTCTATAAGTAAAATTACAAATTCTATGTTTTTGTTAAATTAAAGAAAACTAAATGAACAATCTTCAAGTTAACCTTAATAACTATCAATTGGGGCATGCTGCAACAAAACCAGACAAAGTGAACATTGGTATAACCAAGAATTTCAGGGATCAAAATTTAGTCATTTGTAGTGTGATCATAATTAATATCCCATTTGTTATCTTAAGTGATATATAGAACTTTCCCCCTATTTAATATGAACTAATATCAAAATAAAATGAACTTTGATAAAAACTTTGGTCACAAAGAGAAAATAGAGAAAATGAATGATTTCAATAATCATGGTTACACATCATATGTCATAAAATCAGGTTTAGGAGTTTCGAAAATAGTTTAGGATTTCTAGACTAGTTTAGAAAAGAGGTTAGAGTTGAAAGGCAACTCTATTATGAACATTATTCTTCTAATTTGGTCTAAAACCAAGTGTATTTATACCTCTTAGGGTATTACAAATAACATGACTTTTACAATATTTTATCCAATAAAATATATTATAACTATCTATATTGTATAACTCACTAAGCAAAGTGGCTTATTATCTTTAAGTAATACATTAATACATAAGTAGGAAATATGAAGATCTATAGTATAACATTACGCAACCATTACAATAAATATATCATTGATCGTAATGTAATATTTAGCACATCACATGACTACCATTATAAGTTTGTTATAATTGGTCAACATTATCTGGGACAATTGGTTTGCCCGTGATTTACAATCTCACGATATATAGAAGGCAATTAATAATTGAGAAAAATTTAGCTTATTAAGAATTTAGTCAATAAAAAAGAATGATTTATCAGAATCTTGTGTATTATCAAAAATCATTTGGTTATTAATCTTTAATTTATCATCAAATTTCATTCTCTGCCTATATTTATAAATAAAATAGTGTAAAATAGTAAATCAAGAAACTAAAATAAAAATCGGAAGTGATTACAAGTAACATGAAGTGAAATCGGAAGTGGTCATCACGGAACTGGGAAAGCAGGGATTATGTTCTTGAGAAGTTGAAGGGGCATTCAGATAAAATCTTGCATCGACAGATAATGAGAATTTATTTTTTGTGTATGTAATATATAATTTTTTTTATTGCTATAACCATATTGTCTACAAAATTGAACTTAGGTTAAAATTTATCATTTGTTTTTGGAAAACCCATACATCTTTGTGGATAAGGAAGGGCAGAACAAAATTTATCAGAAAATTGTGGGTCTGATTTTGTCATAATTTTTCTGATATACAAGATCACATTCAGCTCAAGTGGTGAGCATCCCTTTTTACTCAGAAACAGTTGTCAATTGTGGGTCTGATAATTTGTTTGTGTTGATATTTTAGATGAGACTGTCTCTAAGGTAGCATCAGCTAGAAAGATTGATTTGCAAATCATATATAGATCAGGTAATAAAGAACTTAGCCATTTAGAAGCTTCTCAATCAGTAACACCAAATAAAGTCATTAAGGATCATATTCATAGGGATAATGGCTTATATTTTGGGTTTGAGGGACCTGCATTTAGGTTCCATGCTAAGCTTGATGTCATTGCTACTTTGGAGAAACTTTGGAGGTGTTATGTTTATTTAAGGTAAGAAAGAGAGCAATTGGTGTTCCTGTACATTTAATGATGATGGATGCTTATAGCAACTCCTTAAATAATAGGACAATATAAACCATAAAGCAGAAGCATTATTTAAACTTGACAATGATGATTTAAATCCATTTCAAGAATCTTTCATTCTGAAAATATTTCAACACCAAATCATCATAAGGCCAGTTTTATCAGATCAACATACTTCACTCCAAGAAAATCAAAACAAACTGTTGTTAAAGAAATAAAGGCATTGCAATCTGTTGATTTTGAATCCTGTTAATCTTGTACTTAATTTAAACATTGCATTTTCAAAATAACAATTTTAGATTATTATAATACTAATGTTTTAAAAGAATTTGTAGCATAATTCAATTGTATATTGTAGATATATACTTGCAAATATTATTTTTTATCATTATTAAAAGTAGTTAACAGTTAATCAGGAATTTTTAGAAATGTCAAAGTGCTGATCAACAATGGATGGGGTTGCAGAGATAATCCAGAGGGTGAATTAATCTTTCCAAAGGTAATATTATCAAATGTTGTTGAGGCTATATGGAGAACATACAATCCACAAGGAATTCTAACTAAAGCTCCGGACAAGCTGAGCCGAGTTTGAGCCAACTTGAAATTTTTTTTATAAAATCACGTTTTTGCAGACCACTGAAAATAATGAACAATAATAAACTATAATAATTTGTATAAGTTTAGAACATTTGAATCATCATAAATAATTTTATGACAGACTAAAAAATTCCGAAAATTTCAAATGAGAACAATGCTTTTTAGGTTCTGGAATATATGCACAAGAAATTGCATTATACTAAAATTATTAGTCATTGTTCAATGAATTTTACGTTTTAAAAATTCATAGTAACGCAAATTTAATTATAATTCACTGAAATGACTGTATAAATTTCACAATGTTTGCTCAGATAAAACAAAATGCAACCTGTTTAAAAAATCTTTATTATGAGCTAGAGTTCCTATTTGTAATACAAATTCTCATTCAAATAATTCAAATCATTTGTTTTATTCATCATTTGTTTTATTCATTTATAGGGTTTGTATTCATGAATATCATAAGGGGGTCACACAGGGTCACACACTATTAAAATCAAGTGATCAACTCATGTTTTTAAGGGATTTTTTGCTGTTTTAATAGTGTGTAATCCCCTTAATGATATTCATGATATTCATGAATAAAAACCCTATTCATTCCCTATTCATTTATTCGAATTGTTTGTTTTATTCGTTTATTTGAATCGTTTGAATCGTTTGTTTTATTCATTTATTCAAACCACTCGTTTTATTCGCTTTATTCCTTAAGTTGAGCAGACTCAAGTTAAAACTTGAATTTTCAAATTCGAGCTGAATTCAAGAAAATAGTCACAAATTGTTTTTTTAGGTAATGTGCATAAATAAAATAAATCATTTGTTACTTAAAAAAATTTATGTGGCACTCAAACCTATTATTTCCTGGCTTGAGCTTCAGCACAAGCCAGCTCGGCTTGTTTGGAGCTTTAATTCTAACAGAATTTGTTCCTAATAGTTTGTTGAATTTTACAACAGAACCTCCTTTCGATCCAAACATGTATGCTGTGTTATCAGTGAGCCAATATTGACAGAGGGATGGATCTAAAGAATGTTTGCTAATCATATCTGAACACTAGACAAAATAATAGAAGCAGAACAGCAATCAAGATCTTTTATGTCTAATATAGTAAGCATTTGGGGGGGGGGGTTTCTTCCCAATAAGATATGCAAGCTAAAAAATCTTTTTATCCCCTCTTATACTTTCGTCAGCCATTATTCCATATGAACTGTATTTACTGTATAATTGAGGTAGATTATCTCTTATTGCAATCTGAACAACTTCTTTAGTCCATTGGCATAAATTAGATACTGTCACAAAGGAGTCCAATTGTTCTTCTGTTAAAAAACTCATTATCTCTCTTGTACTTTCTACTGTAGATGCCAAAGACATTTGACCAAGGGTGCTTGAATTGGTAGCCATAGCAATAAATTCAGGAGTATAAGCCTTTTTGTTCTGCTTTATCTTCTTCATAAGTTTTTGATTAAAATGCTCATTATTTATATAATTTTTTTATGAACAATTGAACGAATTAATGAAAGGTAAGTTTCCTTGATTCTATTTTACATTTTACCTTGATAGTTAATGACTTTTTTTAGAAGCAAGATCTTGTACCTTTAACTACATGAACTTTGTTGATTTTTCACTTAAATATAGATTAATTTGATTTCTTAAATCAGTATGAATTGACCATCAAAATGAAATTTTTTTGTGAAAATAAAATTTCTGAAGATTAATCAAACTCAGCAAAGAAAAAAAAATATGTTTCAAGCAACTTGCTTGATAAATTAATAGTTCTGACATTCAAATCATTGTTATTGATTAATTCATTCAATGAGTTGAATAACTTGTTTAATAATCTTTCTATATCTTATTTTTCTTGTATATAATTTATCATCTATGTCAATTAACTCTTTATTTAATCCATCAATTATATCATAAATAATTTTCCATTTTATTTATTGATCAATAATAATAATAGTAATTTTCATTTATATTATATCTACAATTGGCATTGATTTTTAGTAATAATAAAATGGTAAAAAAATTTCAACCACATTATGGATTAAACTCAAGCTTTTGTGTTTTGTTTTTCAGGTGTTATTCATTTTTGGGTATGGGTTGATTTTTTTGTTTTTGTTGACCTAACCCTCCATAACTTTGACACTGCTCCTGCTACTCATCAAATGGTGGCACTAGAGGAAGATGGTAGTAATGCTGATATAGTCTTTATTTGTAAGGATTGTAAAAAGATTATAATAATTAATGCACTTCCTTGATGTGATAATGTGATAAATTAAAGAGAAACAGGAATAGGTGTTATTGTCACCATTTAACAATGAATAAATCTACTAGTTCTCTTACTACAGAAGAGTTAATTGCTTGGACTTTTAGTTATCATCTAGAAAACAAAGCTAGAGAATTAGAAAAAAAGCTATTAATTACCAAAGAAGAATTCAAAGTTGAAAGAGAAGAGGTAATTAATTTTCTGAAAAAATCTGAAGAGTGAAGAAAAAGACAGAAACAAGAATTTTGGATAGGAATTAGAAGCAGAAATGGAAAGTTTGAAAAAACCAACTTCATAGGAACTGGTTGATAAACTAGCAACTTATTAAAAAGTAATTGAGGAGTTAAAAGCCCCAATTAATACAATTACAACAGCAAAATGGTCAATTAGTTGCTCAAATTGAAGTTAAAAAATGACCTTGATTGAAAATAAGAAAGTAATTTAAAGAAGATTGAGGAAATATTTTCCTCTATATAAATTGAAATTCATTTCAATGGTCAAAGAAAATGATAGTTATTTTCCTTTAGATAAAGTCAAAGAAAATATCCCGGCTTTTGATATCTTATTGATGATAATCCAATGATAATAAAAAGGCAGTTACAGTATTACTGATAAAAATAAGATTACATTCTTCCTGATTACAAACATAATTGTAGCACTACTGGATCTAATATTTATCATGTTAAAACTACTGTCTCTGATTTAAAAGATGAAGATTTTGCCAAAGCTGCTGAGGAATATAAAAACAATATTTCAAAGAATAAAGGAAATTATGATGTTAAATCTGATTATGAATAGCAGGTATAACTTTTTTAGGTTTTATAATTACCATGATTAAGAAAAAAAATAGATCAATATTGTAACAATAAAATTATTTTCCTTCTAAGGATTTCTGTTTTTTTGTTGGATAACAGCACATTCATTCTGCTTTCTTTTCTTAATGTTTATGATTTTTCTTTCTTCTTGGTAAATTTCATAGGTAATCTAAATATGTTTGCAAGGATTTAGTATTTGCTAATTTAAAAATATAAGGTGCAATTTTTTCACCTTGTTCTTTTTTAAAATACTTCTGGTAGTACAATAATTCTTGGGTTCCATAGTAGACCTGATGTAAATGAGTTTCATATTGACTATTTTTATATAGGAATAGTTCTATATATCACTTAAGATAACAAATGAGATATTATAAAATTGTTAATTATAATCAATCACATTATAAAATAACTAAATTTTGAACCCTGAAATTCTTGGTAATACCAATGTTCACTATCTGGTTTTGTTGCAGCATGCCCCATTTGTATTATTTAATATTATTTAATAGTTTTTTGTGATTTTGAATTTATAATTTTATATTAGTAAGTAATAACGTACCGGAGTGTATTCTGGTAAATTAATTTACTATATGCCCATATATTTAACACAAATGAAAAATTACCAATGAACAAGTTTCATTGAGGATTTTCAAGGAGGGTTACATAATTTACAAATACTAATACTAACACAAAATTGGTAAATATTTTTTTTTTAATATAAAGGATAAAAAAATCTTTAATATTCAAGGTAAAAGAAAGGTTGTTTTTTTTGTTTCGAGAAGGATTTATTAATTTACAGTATATTCATCAAAATTAAACCATCAAAATTAAACCATCAAATTTATTATTATTATTATTATTCAAACTATTTGTTCTCTTTAGCATACTTTTCTCCTTTTTTTTTCATTATCATATTTTCAATTTATAGTTACAACAGTCGCAATTCAATATCCACTTCTATTCTCATCATAATAAAGTTAATATAACAATAACGATGCCATCACCACCAAAAATTCAATCGTTTTCCTCAAATCAAAATATTTCTGAAGCTTTATCAAATATGATTGTGGAATTATCAAAAAAATCAATTGCCACTCGAGAAAGATTTACTATTGGCTTGTCGGGCGGTAGCCTACCGAAAATTTTATCACTAGAATTAAAAAATCGTAAAGACGATATTGAATGGGATAAATGGCAAGTGTTTTTCTGTGATGAAAGGTAAAAAAACAAATTAATCAAAATTAAATCATTAGTAATAATTTAATTGAAAGAATTAATTAATTATTAATGAATTTATTTGTTTTTAAAGACTTGTGGCATTAGATCATCCTGATTCAAATTATTTACTCTGTAAAAATGAATTATTTGATCATGTACCGATTCCTAATCAAAACATACATGTGATCAATGAAGAAATGGTTCTGGATATTGATAAAATAGTCGCAGAAATGGAAACAAGCTCCATAGATGATGACAATAAAATCAAAAATGATACTACCGAAGATGGAGAATCATCATTTAACTCTAAATTAGATCAACTAAAACAAAAGCTAGAAGAACTTTTGACAGAAGAAGTTGATGATTACGAGAAACAATTAATTGATGTGTTTGCCGGTCTCAACTCGGTGAAGTTTCCTGTATTCGATCTACTTTTGTTAGGCATAGGTCCTGATGGTCATACCTGTTCGTTATTTCCAAATCGTCCACAACTTGAGGAAACGAGTCTTTGGGTAACTTATATTGAAGATTCGCCAAAACCTCCACCTAGGCGTATAACCTTCACTCTGCCTGTTATCAACCATGCACATAATGTCATATTTGTAGCAACCGGTAAGGGTAAACAAGATATTTTATGTGATATATTAAAAAATACCAATAATAAAAATTTACCTGCTACTTTTGTAAAACCTGTTAATGGTAACTTATATTGGTTTTTGGATGACGAGGCTTCTGCTAAACTTGTATTAGATAATGTTTAGTACATTAAATTTGTTTTTTTGCAAAAAATATTTTTTTTAAATTATATCAATATATGTATATTTGTTTTATCATCATCATTATTATTATTTGTATATTTTTTTTCTTATATCATATAAATTAATTAGCAAATAAAATTTTTTTAAGTAATTTTACATAGTTTCATTAGAATAGTGGCCGTAATGTTTTGATCGCAAGATAAATCAAACCTTGTTATATAGTAAAGGAGATACAGTAGATTAGTGTAATTTTTTTTAAAATTAATTGCCAGTCATGACGATTATAAGTAAGTGACCAACGAGTGTTTTATTTTTTTTTTTGATTTTATTTTTTCTGGTGAAAAATCAACACCCGTATCTTGTATGTAAGGTTTAATCAATAATATCAGATTCCCATAATCAAAATGTTTTCACGTAATATTTATTAATCCTAACATTTGTGAAAATAAAATTTTTATTTAAATCTTCCATATTAATATATAGCATTAACGGTTTTGAGCTGCACCATATGCGGACGATTTCCAGGTAGGTCTGGCCTTTATCTCTGTGTTCAGAGGAATAAATGCACGGATATATCTTTGATCACCTGGTCCGTAGATCTTGAGTGAATTATCCGACCGATACCCAAAGATCGAGGCTCTATCCCTACGAACTGAGGGATAAAGGTGTAACCTTTCGGAAATTGTCCGCATGGGTTGTTGAAAAATGTTTAATAAACAAAAAAAACCTTATTTTTTACAATAATAGATTTTTAGCTTATTCTATGTATCTTCTTAATATTGATTCAACAAATATATAATATATGTGGGAATTGAAATGAAGCTTGAAGTTTTATACTTAAATACGTTGGGTATTCTTTGGTGTGTGTTCGCCAGCATAATAGAGACTCTATTCCTATAATGAATATTAAAGGTGTTATCAGAGTTGCATTTTTGGTAAATGATGCTAATCTTCTTACAAGAGATTGTGTATTGAAAGAATGCTCCTGGTAAGTTTCAAAAATTGCATTAATATGTTCACAGACACTTTGTCTGAAAAGACTGGAGCGCTTGTAATATAGCTATACTACAGACGGTGGCCTATTTCTGTCTTCAGACATGATGGCTCCTATTTCTGTCGTCAGACCACATACAATTGTGGCCTATTTCCATCATATGAAGCTATAATATATGAGTATGACAATGGTGACCTAATTCCCGTCGCCCACATAGGATATACAAACCAAAAACCAAAATCACGCGAAGACCTATTTTGAAAAATTTTAAAATTCGAGCGCGTGGCACAGCAACAGGAGCCATATTAATATATACGTTGGTGGTCAACTATGTTTGTATTTATTATTAAGTTGTAACACCCTAATGCGGAAACATCTTGCGAAGACGAAAAACAAATCGACCTCATTCACACCTTTTCAAGTTTGAATTTCCCATGAATGTCGCTGCACACTCTTTCAAACAATCTGCCAAAAAAGTTGTATGTATGATATCCTTATAAGGACTCGGATCCTTTTTACCATTGTTCTCCATATCGTGGTTCTCATTCCAGAATTTCACCATTGCAAGGCCTCAGGATTTTCTACGTGATAACAAAACTGTTCAGCAGGTCAACTTTTTTTGCATGATGGTTCGCTGTATCACTGCCTTGATATGTTCATCAGAATATTCTTTGAGCTTTGTGTCCATCAAAACATCAGCGATCTTTGACTAAAGTGGATAACTAACGCTTGCTTGATTCTCGCAAACAAATGTAGATGCAATAGCGTTTCTTTGCAACTTCCTTGATGGACCATGATTTTCCGATTCCACAATCTCTGTAAAGGACACGTATTGTAGGACTTACAAAGACAGTTGTCGATGTAAATGATCAATCCATTGACGATAATATTTTTGTTGTCAACATATTCGGTGCCAAAAGCATTGCTTATGTACCCACTCCTCTATCACTGAAAACGATGTAATGTCTGTACCCGCTTCTCACATTTTTCCTTCCCCACTCTAACTTCATTTTCTCCTCTTCAAGTATCTCTCTCTCTCGACTTGCCGCTTCTTTTTTCTTGATTGTTTTCAATTCTTCTTCTACCAATTTCCAACTTACTGCTCAACTCTTCATATTTATCTCGTGCATATTAATTTCATAATCAATGTTAGACATGTTTCTTATAAAGTAAATGTAAAAAGTTATTAAAAAACAAAATTTTTTCAGCAATTAATTGGAATAAACAAAATACAAGTTAAAAAATTGTTAAAGTATTTTGCATGAGAGAAAAATGTTCGGTCCCAAAGCCATAGTGAGTATTTGAGTGCCCTGACAAAAATCTAACTTTCACTATTGCTATTCTTTTTGTTATCATTATCGATAATATTATTATTGATATTCATATCTTCTTTGTTTTTCATCACCTTCGACAGCTTCAATTTTCATCTCATCCTTTTCTTTATTGACCCATTCTTGAATTGCGTGTATTGTTTTCCCTCTAGGGTCAGTTTTTCATTGATAGAAGCTTTTGATTATGGAGGCTAAATGTATATCTCTCTTTTCCGAGCAATTCACGAGCTTCAAGAGCCATTCTTATTAAAAGAAAAACCTGGAACCAGTTCACTCTTTTTATCAAAAAGATTTATAAGATTCCCATAGGTTTTCGATTTTAGAGGGTATTTTTTTTATCAGTAGTTGATTTATTTTTAATTTTGATTTTCTTGGTTCTATTTTATTTATTATTTGATCGATTTTTTTATTTATATAAATATAGAATTAGCTTTATAACGAAGCAAGAAACCAGGAAAAAGTTCAATTAACAATCCACAAAAAAGTTCACAGTTGAAGGTAAACATTTTTTAAAATTGTTGATGAAAATATTGTAAATATTGATAAAATAAAATAATAATTGTGTTTAACAGTAATTGAAGAAGGATTGATTTTTTTTATGTGAAATAGGTGAATTTGTGTTCGAACATTATAAAAACATTACCAAGTGAGATTATTTTTACCTTGTTTTAATCAAATGAGAACAAAGATAATCTTGAATTTAAAGAAATTCTTTTTATTGATAATTGATGCAACGTAATGCAATATGACAACTAATTATAATTATTATTAATTTTTAAACGGACTTTTACCTTTCCTTTTTTTCAAGTGCCATGTCTCAGCCATTTTCAGTCTAATGTCAAGAAGGCAAAGCCATAAACTATAAATCTTATCAGTAAATGTTTTGTTCGAATGCAACTTTTGAATTATTATTTATTTATTATGCAGAATTTACATATTCTCAAAATTAAACATGACAAAGTTTGGGATTGAGAATTAACAGTAAACATTGGTAAGATTGGAAAGCAATGTGTAAATATTATTTTTCAAGAAATTTCCTTTTATAAATGGCAAAACTTTAGACTACCTATGATAACAAAAAGATCTAGATTCAATTAAAAGAAGTATACGTGAAGAATTAATTACCAAGTTTTTTAAATAGTATATATATTGATTTAATTAAAAATTAGATTTCATATGCCGTGTATATACATTATATAGATGACTTCAATATTTTCAATATTGACATTTAATCTTAATGTGAACAAACCTTTTTATTCTTGTTAATAATTGATATTATTAGGTTTTAACCTTTTTTGCAATACCAATGTGAGCAGCTTTTGCAACACGTCCAAACTCCAAACTGCTTTCAGTTTCTGCTTGAGATGATTTTATTGGAGAAATGTTAACTAGCATTAATACCTTGGCATTTCCACCTATTATTAATTTAATTGCCATTAATAAATAAATAAACAAAAACAAACAAACAAACAAACATCATCATCATCACCATAATAATAATAATAATAATAATAATAGTAATAGTAATATTTACCTAATGAGTTTTTTAAGACATAAGTTAAAATAGAATCGCGATAATTGATATGACTTGTACTTTCCTTGATGTTTTGTATAACAGTTTTTAAACTACTGAGACTTTTATTAATATATATTGTTTCAGTTTGAAGATCTCCTGTTGAATCATATGTCGATATTTTTTCAGAACCTGCTAGATCAATAAGGTTCAGAGAACCTGATCGTGTTTCATTTGTAATCAAATTTAAACCTTCAATATGAATCATGAAGATGCTATGACTTCTTGAAGAATTATTATTCATTTTTGTAGAAGCAACAGAACGATGCTTTGTTGCCGATTCAAGTACTTGATTAACATGTTTTGGTGACTCAAGGTTTACTAAAAAAAAAAAAAAAAATTCAAAATCTACATCTAAAATCTAAAATCTAATCTAAATATTAATTTAAAAAAAAATACCTGTTTTTACATTAGCAATTCTTGTCGAACCTTTTTCAATGTCATGCGTTATCTTTATATCCTTGAATTTTCCACGTGGAATCTTAAGTAAATCATAAACATTATCATTATATATTTCAATAAATTGACCTTCAATTGTATAATTCCAGCCCTGAGATTTCAATTCATTGACAAGACTAAAAATGTGTCTAAATGCTCTGGTGATCATACCCTCACTTTCAGGAGTATTGGAACCTTGCATTGTATAAGTTTTTCCCGCACCAGTTTGACCATAAGCAAATATACAACAATTATACCCATCAACTACTGATTGAACAACATGAGCAATCTCAGCATATACTTGTTCTTGAGTACTATCAGATTTGAAAACATAATCAAATTCATATTCCTTGTAAACATTCCTGCTTATTCTAAGATAATTTTTTACAACTGAACCAATCACTATTTTTCTATTATCATAACTTTCTGGGTACTTGATTTCGGTGAGAGGTTCATCTTTTTCTGCGGAAGTTTGTGGACGAACTCTGCAAAAAACACGAATGTTTCCCTTTAGATCTTGAATAACATTGTGTAAGTAGCGACGAGTGTTTTCATAATTCAAACATTCTGCATTCAAATGTTCGATTAAATTTTTTCTTTCAATAATCTTTGTTTCAATCATCATTAATTCATTGGCAATTGATTCTTTTGTGGCTTTGAGGCTGATTAATTCATCGCGATCATTTTTAATACTATTATTCAAAATCTCTAATTCCTGAGAACTATTCATGATCTGTGAATTAAGTTTTATAATTTCCTCTTTTGTAGTTATCAAATTTTCTTTAATTTTACTAATTGCTTCTAATGATTCTACTAATTTAGCTTTTTTCAATTTGACATCATTTTTGATTCTATTATTTTCCATAGTATAAGATTCAATTTGTTTGTGAGCTCTAGTAATGTCATCTTGAAGTTTAATATGCTTTTCCTTGAGAATGTCTTTTTCTGTAAGCTGTTTTTTTTTATTGACAGATGATGACGACGATGATGATGACGATGATGATGATAATGTATTGGAAAAAGTTTTAGTTGATTGACTATTGTTGTTTTTTGATACGATGCTTGTTTTTTTATAGATTCCTCTATTTGATAATGATGATTTAACATCATTTAAAATTTTGGGCTTATGTGATATCAAATTTCTGCCAATTTTATCTATTTGCTTTAATTTTTCAACATGGCCATTTTTTTTTATAGGTGACTTTATTTTTGGAATGGAACTACTAGAGGAAGTATTATTATTTGGTGCAGATTGGTTGTTTATATATTTTTTATATGTCATTCTAATAATAATACCAGCAATGAAATAAATTCAAGGTAAAGAATGGTTAGATCTTGTTCAAAACAAACGTTGTGTATAAAAAGTTTTGTAATGTTTTGACTAAAATTAATAATAACAGATAATCGTAATTTCAGCCAAAAATTAAAAAATGTTTCACGAAATAAAAACACGTTACAAAATTTAAAAATTACAACACGTGATTACAATTTCTATTCCCCATATTCAAATTTTAAAGTATTCGTAGTGTTTGTAATGCCTTTGGGTATTCATAATAGTAATGTTTTTTAAGCATTGTAATAATTTTTTTCAAATATTTGTAATCCTTTCGAATTTTTATGTCGGTTAAGAATGTTATAATTATAATCAGTGTTGTCCGCCATTTTAAATGTCCCTTGTACTTGGACGTTGCCCGGGACATGTCCCATGTACAACACTGAGATGATATCATCAATATGAATAAAAAATAATATCAAGAAAAATAAATTATAAAACAGACGCGTCATTGTGGCGTCACCGCAGAAACTACATTACCAAATCATAACATTGCTTGGATCGTTATCATACATTCTTCATTTAGCATCTCTTGGGAGTTGGCTTATAAATTTTTAACGTGACATAAGATAATTATTCGAATTTTCACACGACTCTGTCAAAAAAGAGTGCTTATTTCCATAATAACATTGCAATAACTTTATTTAATGATGTATGACGAAACTATTGACTTTAGTCATTGACGTAACTAAAGTATTGACTAAAGATAGTTTCTCACCATGATGATTTGACTAAAGTGAAAGTCTTGACGTAATTAAATCCACTTATGTAAATAGATACAAGCAGCAATAATAATAATGATAATAAAGAATTATTATATCATTGTACGTATATTGCAATGAGAAATATTACTTTATAAAGCCAGTTGTTCTTTACAAATTAAAATTATTATTTTATTATCACATTTCATATAATCAAATTGTCTTTACATACATATGAGTTTTTCGAGTTTTCGACTTTTGAAGTTAACTACGTGTAATAGTAATTAATACGCAATAATATTAATAATGTGCTTTAATGTCCGAATTTGAAGCAACATGGGTTGATCAATATTGGTACTTGGAACGACCTTTACATAGCACGTAAGACAGGTTTTGAGAGTTTTAATTTTATTTTCTATTTTTGCCACTTTTAAATCTTCAAAGAATGCTGAAATTCCTTTGTTGTCGAATCACGATAAATCGTAACAGTGAATTTCGTGAAACACATATTAGTATTGTGCAATGATATTTTTTGGTGTCATAGTATTATAAAATCACATGACTCAATCACTTGCATATATATTTGTTCGAAGCATCAAAATTAGCACTGGATGCGAAGAATCTTAGCATCCTATCTAGAGATGGGCAAATGTGCATATAGTTGAACACTATACGATACTATACGTATGTATAGTGATGAGAAAACAAAAATATGGGGATCATATTTTTAAATTTTTTAAAAATTCCAATTTTGCGTTGTAAAAAAAATTCCTGATCAAATCCACCATTATTTTATTGACATAAAAGGTATTATGATTTTGATTTGATTTGATTTATAGATTTAATTGAATTATTAATTATATTGAATGAATTAAATATCAAAAAAATCAAAACTGTTTTCACTTTTATTTGATTCTTCAATAAAATTTTTTTTTATGTGTTTCATCAATTTCTCAATTACGTTGTAATTTATCTGTATACTAGAATAATTTCTTTTAGTTAGAATTGTGGCATTTGGACAAAGGCGTAAATGGTTTTCACATCTAGATACTGAACTAGTACATTGATATTTTTGCAATATAGACATTTAAAACGTAATTGCTTATAACCATTAACATCACCAATATGTTTAAAATGTTGCCAAATTGCACTTTGGCAAGTCATGCATATACTGTGAGATTTAATTTTCAATTAATTTTTATGTGCAACATTACATCATATTATTTGGCAATAATCTAAACAGGAATTGATTTACGTTTATACGCACTATACGTATAGTACTACATATGTAAACTCGATAAGTTGGTCTCGCGATAGGTCGGCCAAAATTTCACCCCTTTTTCTTAATATTTAAGTAATTTAATTCGATAAGTCGATCATATGAGCTCACCCCACATGACCGACTTATCGTGTATACCGTATAGTACTGATCTGCCCGCCCATCCCTAATCCTATCAATGATGTATTCATGATCAATGATGCGATATTTAATAAAAATAAACAATTTCATGGCCAGATGGTGCATCGACAAGAAAAATAATATAATAGACCCGCTACTCCTACTTGTGGACCAAAAAATCGGTGCATCAATTTTGCTTTTTATGTTGCGTTCGAATTCGAATTCAATTTCCTTTTAGTCAAGTATCTGCTTCGCTCAACCCTGACGTTTAGATAGATTTTTCGGTTGCCAAATAGATGGTAATGGGAATTCGCATGACACGGCGATGTAAAAATAACCATAACCATTATCATTTTCGGGAAAACGAAAATAATTTCAATTTTATTAGTTTTGCAAATCATTTCAAAGCCGTAGCGAAAAAAGAAGAATACGACTATAGATGTGTGTCTAAATTAAATTATTTAGACAATGTCTAAAATATAAATCAATTTAGTCATTTAGACAATCATGGTCTCAATTGTCTAAAATGCTGAAATTGAATTTTTTATTGGATAATTTACTGAACTTTGTGGATTTTGTGTATATACACGTGACTTTTAGTTGTATTCAAGTCTTCATTATGTACAACTGAATATTTCCTGTGCAACCAGATATTTCAAATTTGGTAAAATTGTAAACCAACTTTTTTCTTTCGACCGTTATTCTAAAAAAAAAAATTCACTTACTCATATTTTTATATAATGTCATATAATAAACTATTATCACCATTATCATCAGAAAGAAAGAAATTTGTATTGAAAACCAATGGTGAAATATATAATAATGCTCTGGTTAATTCTGATAAAAAAAGTAGAAAAGATTATTTTTTTTCATTAGTTGAGAAAAACAAGGAGCTTTCTAAAAATGAAAAAGAATTTTGTAAAGCAAAGTTTATTTATCGGGTTGAATTAAATAATGCATCATATAAAAAAGGCAAACCAAAAGAATGTAACAGCTGTAAATTGACAAGGTACTCTGATATGTTCTGTGAAGGTTGCATTGGATTACAATTACAGAGTCTTTTCACCACATGGACATCTGGAAATAATATAATTGATGATTTTATTCAACAATGTCAAATGAAATCATCTCTTCCAGACTATATTTTAGAATGGATACCTTTTGAGCAATTTGAAGAGATAACAAAATTGACAGAAGGTGGATTTAGTTCAATTTATACTGCAGAATGGACAAGAGGAAGCATTGATGATTATGATGAAAATAAAAAGGAATTTAATTATTTTGGAACTCAATGTGTAGTATTAAAAAGTTTAAATAATTCAAGTAACCCAGGAAAAGGCTTTTTTGATGAGGTTGGTAGTTGTCATTTAAAACAACAATACTGTATTATATATAATACTAATTAATTTTATTTATTTTCAGGCAACAAATTATTGTAAAATTAAATCACCACTGATTGTTCAATGCTATGGTATAACTAAATTCCCAGATAATGGAAATTATGCAATTGTTTTAAACTATGTTCCAGAAGGAAATTTAAGGGATTATTTACAAAAAAATCATTTAAATTTAACATTAGAAGACAGAATCACATTCTTTTATTATTTATGTTATGGATTATATTATATACATGTAAAAGATTTAATCCATTGTGATTTACATAGTGGTAATATACTTGTAGAAGGAGATAATAGTTTTATTACAGATTTAGGATTATGTGGACCAGTTGATGAAAAGTCATTAAATAAAGTCTATGGAATTGTACCATATGTTGCACCTGAGCTACTTAGAGGTAAAATTGATACAAAGAACACAAAAGAATCAGATATCTATAGTGTTGGGATGTTAATGTGGGAAATATTTGCAGGTCATCCACCATTTGATGATAGAGCTCACAATCATCGTTTGATTTTTGATATATGTGCAGAAGGTTTACGACCACCAATATTACCTGAAATGCCTGATGATTATGTGCAAATGATGCAGAGGTGTTGGGATGTGGATCCATCAAAAAGACCAACTAGTGAAGAGCTTTGGACATTTGCTGAAAATAAACTCGAAGAAATTATTAAAAATAAAGGTTTATTCAAATTTCCTAAAATCAAAAATCATGAAATTGATTTCAATAACGACGGTAGTAACAATGGTGGTGGTGATAGCAGTACTTCGCAACAAGCACATGAATCACATCCAGGTGCATATCATACAAGTAGAATATTAGACGAAGAGATTGCTAACTCTAAAAGCTTTAAAATTTATACAAGTAATGATAGTTCGTTAAATGATCTTGATTTTAACTCTTTTCTCTAAAGTGTTAATAAAGGTAAATAAAATTTTCATTATTAATCAATTGGAATTACTATCCATTAATTAATCATTACTAACAATATTAATTAATTAATTAAACTCTAGTAAAGCGATGAATGACTAATTTAATCTCCACTATAAATTTATTATCTTCTTTTTTATTTTATCTTTTTATTTTATAATAAACTTTCTATAGTTTTCTGATTCTTGTTAAATGGTGATATTGCAAGGTATCATTTCGGTTAATTAATAATTATGGCTTAGCTTTTGGGCTATTCTTGTCAGTTAATAACTTGGTGCTTGTCAATTAGTCAGTCTACAAATTTACTTTGGTTCTCAATTACTGCATCTAGACGAATTTGTGAGCACACTTAATGGTACCAGATAACTGTAATTAAATAATGATGGCCCTATAAAATTCCTTTTGTTTCAGTCGTTTACCCTTGTTTATATTTATTGGCCGATTGCAAACTCGCTTTGGTTTACTTGCAAAACAACCAAGTAGCTTGTTTAACAGCCTTACATTTACAATTACGATACTTTATTGACATCCACTAGTTAACCAACAATGCTAGTCCTAACCTTTCTCGCTTGCTCATTAAAACAAATTACGTTACTAATCGTTGTTGACACTCTAACCTTGTTTACTTGCTCACTAAAGCAAATAAACGGTGGGTTTTTACCAAAGCCCCACAATTTGTTACCTTTTACCAAGACACTAACTACACTTGTTATTTTTATCAAAGCCCTTTAAACAAAGAAAATAAATATTATAATGTTTTTATTATTAACGATTAATTTTATTTAATATTCTATCACAGTTTTATTTTATTAGAACGTTAATCATCTATTATTTTCCTCTGCTTATGCTTTTTCAAGCGAAGACCAGAAGTTATCCTTAATGAAACAATAAGACAATAAGACAAAGATGTGTTTGTTATTGCAAGTAACTTAATCAATCAATAAAAACTTCCATGATTATTTACACAGTAGTTTGATAATAATTATAAAAAGCTTTTGCGTAAAAATTTTCATTTGATAGTTAAGTACCGAATCCCTAATCGATGATTTTATCTACCCGATCATGTATCACATTATTAATATTAATTTAATATAAGAAAGAAATTAGTGTAATTTGTATTTAGCAAAAGAAAAACTTGGCTCCTTGGGAACAACTGATGAAACAAAGGAGAGGTTGGGCTTCTCAAGAAAAATATAAAAAAAAAAGACCTTGGAACATATGTTTACAAGTGTGAGCTTTTATATTTAAAGCAATTTACTTGCGTCATTTTTGACTTAATGGCAGCGAATAGTCTTACAACTTTGGTAACATTTTGTCAAACAAATCTATTTCTGCGGTATGAGATTTAAATTCAATTGCACTCCTATTCCAGAACTCTTTTAAAAACAAAAGTTAGTGAAATAATAAAATTATTCTCTTTTTACCCAAAACCTAATTAGTAGTAAGTAATGCCTTGCACCAGTAATAAAAATCAATTTTGGTCTAGACTATGTGATCAATTTCCAAAACTACAAGTGAAATCAAAAAAAAATTAATATAGTTGGTGCTGGTATCGTGACAAACGTGATTGATTATTAACGGGTTGTCCATGATAATAACAATGGCTGAAATTGCAATTGGTGGTATCATTTTTTGGAATTTTATTTTTAAAACTTATTATTATAATTATTATTATTATGTAAGTTTTCGAAATAGAAAAACCAACCAATTAAATTTCAAAGTTCAAAATTACATCTCTTCTGTTGGTTCGATAATGGAATCGATTCGTTTCAAATAAGCCTTCAGTTCAAACGATTCTTAACAATGTTTAATTCACTCATGATTTCATTCTAATGACTTTTAACCATTTAACTTTGATTATCACTATTATTAGTGGTTGTTGCTGTTGTCGTTCATTTTGATTATATTTATTATTATTGCTAGTAATTTATTTGTGTTTATACGTCAATATTTTTTCTTCGACATCACCAACTGGTTCGGTTTCTATCAAAATCGTCATCAATATCTTCTTTCTTTTCTTCTTCTCTGATGGAAGAGTTTCTAAATCCTCTTCATTTTTTTTCTACAACACGCAATACATATTATTTATTGCTGCAATGTATGCGTGCGTGCGCGTGTATATTTTTTTAAGATGTAAAATGATAATTATAATCATGATACCAATAAAAGATTGAGAGTTATTACAATGTCTCATCATAAATAAAAACAATAATCGCACAGATCAAGAAATATTTAAAGCTTTTTCAAAGAAATTATAAAAATCTTGGGCATTGGCAATAATTATTATATCTTTGTAACAGATGTAAATCTTCTATTGAAAGAAGGGAACGAGATTGAATCATTTCATTCATTTTTAATAGACGGACTATTAGCTATAGACATGACTCCCAAACGAATCAAGGATTATATAAAATGTATGATGGAAAATTTATAACCTCCAACCAACACCAAGGAACATCAAATAAAGATTGCGGCAAGCCAAAATAAAAAAAAAATAATTGCCAGGGTAATATAAACTGGCATACCATGCATACGTTGATGATTTTTACACGGCGTCTCGTAACATTTTCATTTATTAATATCACGAAACGTTGGACACGAAAATCTTTGTGATATCAATCAAAAATATATATGTACATACACGATTGATTGGTTGATCTGCCAATCTTAAAAAATCAGGTTCACTAAATAAAATAAAATGTTGACTCATTAATACTGTAATGTAATCAATCAGATGAAAATTTGATTTGTACGAAATTTATGATGATTTTGAAACAATTATTAATGAAATGTGTCGCATACACAAATGTAAAAATTTAGTTACTTTCTTCTTGGCTGTTTTTTGGATTAGTTCATCAAAGAGAATTTGAAAGTTTCATTAACTGTTAAATGAATAGGTAAAGTAAATAAAATAGACACTATAAATATTTTTTATCCTGTAAAATCAACTTTTACTCGTGAAAACATAAAATGCGATGGAACAGTTTTATGATTTTTGTATGGACAAAACAACAAACACACCACATATATATTAGTTGTCAACCATTGTAGGAAAATATTACAATTTGAATGTGAAAAATGGTTTGAAAAATGCACGGAATACATTATTATTATCCGAGATTCATTTTACTTAGTTATTTGTTATGATTATTGGGGAAATAAAGCAGGGAAAGATGTAACATTGCCGTTTTCAATTATATTTTGTGCATTATTTTTCTTTAACTCAGAGCTAACTCAGCAAAAAAAAAAATAATAAAGCGGGTTTGATTTTTTTTTATTTGATAAACACAACCTGAATGTTTTTGATTCATCAGTGATGATGATGCAACGATGGTGTATGAAAAAATTTTTACTCTAAATAGTAGAGAAATAGAAAGGAAACACACGCGTTAGCGTTGAATAATAATGGTGTTATTATTTATTGTTGTTATTTATTAAAGATTAATATCATTAGAAAAACGATTGCTAATAAAATATGCACAAACCATCCAATTAACTTGGATGCCACAGGAAAATGAAGTCTAGAAGAAAAATAGATGTTAACTGCATGATCTATTTTCATATTATTATTATTATTATTTACCCTTTAGTAATTAATGTGCATATTTACGCAAAATAACGTTTAGAATTTTTGCGTGTGTGTAATATTAAAATCAAAATTAACTATATTGTTTTATTAATTTGGAGATTAAATATATATGTTTTTCATATATATATATTCATTCACGTGTATTTATTAATGTTAATAATATTAATGTTTTTCCAAATTTAGTAAAAAAATATGATCGAAAATTATGCTATTATCTCACCAATAATAAGAATAAAACATCATTATTGTTTTATTTCTATTAATAGAATTTTTTTTTTTTATGATAATTGTGTAGCATTATTATTTGATTTTAAAAATGTGATCATCATCTTCTTCTACAAATTTATATCATCAATATTAATAAATATGTATGCTATGTTATATAATAAATAATAGTAAATATTGTCAAAAACCAAAAAAAAAATAAAGCTTGTTTGTTTCAAAATAAATTAATAAATTTGATGGTTTTTAAAAATTCTAATTGGAATTTCTTACCTGCCTAATTCAATTATATTTTTCACGCATGAAAGTTTTGAGATTGAATTCAAGTTTATTCAAGTTTGTTTATTTATTTATTTATTTATTTATTTACTTATTTTTAAATTTAAAATTTTCTCCATTCAAGCTAACATTAAAGCAGTTATTAATTTAAATATATTTAAATGAAATTCTACTATTTATCTTCCTTAAATTGGAAAATTTTATTTGATTGGTTACATGTATCAATGTGAAAATCTTGAATTTAAAATTAAATTAAGATTTACAAAACGCAATCAGTCAATCAATCAATCTTGTGAATGAAACGTTTAATGATTGAGGAGAAGAAATAAACAATAAAAACAAACAATAACAACAACAACAATAATAATAATAATAATAAAAAGACAAGGAAGAAAATAAAGCCATTTTTTATGATGCAAAATGATTTTTATTTGTTTTTTTTTTTTCTTTTTGTGTGAAGGAGAAAAGTGTCTGAAGAATAGAGAATAAAAATTTTAAACTATATCTTATTATGTGTGTACGATAAATAATAAATAATAAACAACCATATTTCCCGCCAAAAAAAAAAAAGAAATTTTATTTGTAACATTTTAATTTATTCTGAATTCAATGGATCCCGTCCAAATATTTATGATATGCAAAAGAAGTTTAAAATCATTAATATTTTCCAGATTTCATCATCTACATCATAAATTTTTTGAATAGAACATTAGAATAAGCAAACAGTATGTATACGTAATCCAGGAATAATATAATTTTTTTTTTTAAAATAAACCGTGTGACATTGACTGAGGGTTAACCTTGTACCGACATTATCCCATCCGATAGTAATAGATTTTGGGGGGTTGTCCATTCTTTTCTCTCTCTCTCTCTCACAATTATTTATTATATCACTAAATATATATATATATATTTTTTTTTTTTCAAAAATTGTTAATCTCACATGAATAATATCTTCCAAACAGTTTTTTTCCTAAAAAAAAAAAAGGAAAATTTAAATTTAACAATGAGGGAATAATTGCTATTCTTTTACGAAATAAAATTTTACTGGCGTTGTAACACTTGTAACATATAAAATTGGTTTCTTTACTAATTCCAATTGAATGTTTGTCATGATTCATTATTTAGCGGTAGGGTGATAATGGTAATAATAATGGCGAGTGTTTGTTTTTTGAATTTCAAAAATTTGAATTAAAACTAAATTAAGTAAGGATATCATAATGATCCCCTTGCATAATATTGTTAATAATAAATATCATTAACAATATATGTGTTATTTTATTCTTAGTTAATAAATATATGTTAAATTAAAATTGCCCAAATTAGGAAATTTTTAATTTAAGTTTAATTTTTCCCAAATAAAGTTTATGACGGTCTGTGCAAATTTTAAAATTTATATAAATCAATTCACGTGATGTGGATATTAAAGTTTTATTTATGTATTTTAATGTAAAAAATAGATTAATATTGTAGATAAATAATGGTTAAACGATTTGTAATTATTCTGCGTGTCAAGAGTCACAGGACAAAATAATAAATAATCATCCGATCTATATTATATTAGAATTTTGGAATATAAAAGAAAGAATATGCATTAGAAATATTAGAGAATTCTGAAAAGAAAAAAAAAACCTAAATTAAAGGATTTAACATCATTTTACTTTAAGAACAATATAATAATGATTTATAAGACACCAGCGAGATAATAGTAAGATAATAAATGCGGATAATTCTTGATTAATTGCATGTACAACAATATTTATTATTATGTTATTATAATAATCATAATGATAATCATAAAATCATTATCATGTTAAATAATTGAAGCATCACAATCATGTAGATAAATAAATTAAGATAATACAAAGCAATATAAAATATCGTCAATTTGCAACTTACAATTCGTGACCTCTGATTCAAGTCTAGGTCTAGATTATTAATTGATTGATTAATTAATTGATTGATTAATTAATTAATTAATTAATTAGTATTCTAATATTATTATGAGTATTAGAATATGTTTATTATAAACACACTATAATGAATATAAATCTCCTTGTTTTTCAAGATTGGAAAACAAGAGAAAATTATTTATTTGTTTGTTTTTGAAACACAACAATTTTCGTCTCTGTTGCTTCCGTTATTATCATATTGTCTGTTTTAGTAATCATTATCATTATCATTATCACCGCAATCATCATTGTCGTTTTAAATTATTTTTTTCTTTGCATTACTCTTACATACAATGCATATATTCATTATTTTTTATTTATTTTTATTTACAAGACGTATGCGTTTTAATCTGTTTTGTGCTTCTCATACGATTGTTTGATCATTGTTTAGATAAATAATAATATGACTGATATGACTTACTTGAATTAAAGTTTTAATAAATCTTAATCTTTCACACACGTATAACTCCCCGATAGCGAGGTCTTCCTAATTAATACATTTTGTCATTTACTCATTTATATCCCATTTACCTATCCATTTATTCATTTTACTTGTTTGTTTATTCATTTGTTCATTTATTTGTTTATGCGAGTTATAAATAAATAAAATTTAATGCAAGGAATTATTTTATTTTCTTAATTGATCTAAAAAAATTAAAATTAATATATATTAATATATATATATTATATATTATTACACATGTACGTATAATTTCCTTATACTGATATAAAAAAATTTATCACATGATTTATTATTTATTTATTGTATATCAAGGATACCCCCTTGTAATCTAAAATTGGGAATAAAATTATTTCAATAGAATAATATAATTTAAACAATTGCGATAGCAAATTAATTTTAAATTTTTATTTTTATTATGTATGAATGAATGAATGATGAATGATGAATGAATGAATAAGAAAACCCATTTCAAAAAAAAAAAATTTTTTCTAATAATACAAATTTTAATTTTACAAAATTGATCAAGTCATAAATTTTCTTTCCTATATATAACTAATCTAGTTTTTTTTTTTTTTTAAATTTTTCTTTTAGCCAATCTTCTTGAAGCTGAACTTCTAACAACTCTTTTTTTATTGTGAAGTTTAGGTACGTCATTACGTTTCACTTTATTACTACCTTTACCAATACTAATATCAGCGCAATTCAAGTACAATTCCTTGGTAAGCTCAGCGTCCCATTTCCAACGCAATGTACACTTGTCACACGATACACCTTTTGGTAAGGCAACTGTGTCAGAGAAATCACCAGTTGCATCAGCACAATTATCAAACTTCTTTAAATCCTTGAAATCGGTATCTTGTCCGGTTACGGAAAGTTGGACAGTGCATGTGCCACGATGAGCTGCAGTGATTTTCCATTGTATTGGGATGGTTTCCCCAGATTTAAATTTGGATTTTACGGGTCCAGCTGGATTACCCGCGCATGGTTCTTCTTTTGTTGGACCGTTGGTTATTGTGAGCCCTTGATTTTCGTCACCTGGCTTGATTCTAATTGGTGGTTGAAACATATGACCGTGGGCTGAAACTTGTTCAACATGAGAAAAAAAGATGATGAAAAAGACGGCCAAAGTGAATATTATTATTTTTGAAGATTTCTTGGTAGCTGCAGTGTTTTTTTGTGAGAAATGCATCGTGTTTTTTATTTTTACTTGTGTGTAATGTGTGATTTGTGCAAATTTGGTTATTGCCGATGAAGCACGACTTTTGAAAATAATTTAAAAAGGAAAGATATAAAAATAAATAATAGCCTCGAGCTATTTTTAATCGTTTATTTTTTTTAAAATGTTATTTTTTTTTCTTTTCTGAAATGAGTTTTTCTTATCAAAAGAAAACTGATTCGAATTGATGGTGATTTTGAACGAAATAAAATATCTGTAGTTTTTATAACCAAAGAATACTACTATAAACGGTCATAAAGATCTTTGTATTCAGGGCTCGGAATGGAAATTTTCGGTGATGATCCAGGTGGCAATCGGTTTGAAAAAGAAGGAATTTGTTTTTTAATTGTTTTCTGCCTTACAACAAAGGCGCCTTGTCCTATCCGCGTGTGTATTAGTTCGATTAAGATTAAACAATGAAGTTAATGGGGTTATTATTATAAATCCTGAAACATTAACAATATTTTTCTCTAGAAAAAAAAAATAAAAACAACAATATGGTACCGAACCTCTTTTATTTTTTTGTTTTGCTTTTTAAACTTAACTTCAAAAGAAAATTTTTTTGCTATTCTAATTTTGGCCAATTTCTTGTTTATTTTAATTAATTGCATTTTTTGAAACTTGGTAGCGCATAAGAAGCCACTAGTCAGCCCCCTTGCATCTTTCTGGCTATGTGATTAATTGATCGTCATTTGTGGTACAGAACCCTTTTGGAATTTATGGAGGCAAATTTTTTTGCGAATATCATATCCATTTTAGGAAACCAAAAGAATATCATCCAACCTTAATTATTATCACAAAAATTGCATTTATAGTATAGCACCTGATAGCCTAATATCATCTCTATATATATATAGAGTCATAATTTATTTATTTATTTATTCATATTACTTACCATAAAAATCATTTATATCTGATTATATTATATAGTTATATTGGATTCCTTATTTAAACTCTAATTGATTTTTCTCTTTCTATTTACCTAGCTCCTTAGACTCCTTGGATTAATTTAATCTAATTAAAAGTTTATAATTCTTTCTAATTACGATAAAGTAATTATCTCTGATTTTTCGGACGATAAATAAGCAAAACATGTATCATCATTGAATAGCGAATGAAAAAAATGAAAATCATAATAACAAATAATTTCACTTTTTATTTTTTCGGAGTTTACGAAAATCAAAACCAGGTGATAGTAATAGTAATAGTAATATATGGTCAATTAATCACCGACCGTAGTAACACGACGTACGTATATTGTTTGTTTGTGTTACTAAGTGAAATAAATAATTTTTAATAAATAGATACGTGCATGCATATGCTCTAGATATAGATAGATATATGCACATGCAGGCTTATGCATCAAAAGTTTTTAAAAATTAATTAATCTGATGACAAGTAATGTGATTAATAAAAAATTTAAAAGTGAAAGATGACGATGATAATATCATGTATTGTTTTGGAGCCACACACAAGTCCAACGTGGTTGCAGTTTAACGGACAATTTAATTTAATTTAAATGTTTTCCGGAAAGAGTAAACAAATTCTTTTTTTAATTTAGGTTATATGATTTAATTTAATCAAAAGTCGATGACGTTAACCATTTTACGTTAACTATTTTACGTTAACTTATTTGATGACAACATATCTACAATCTAATTAAAACTTTATATTGTATATGCGTTTCTCCGATCAAAGGAGATAGTTCAAATTTTTTATTAATATTATTTCCTGGACAATACGATATTCACACAATCAACGAGGATTACTAACGCATTATTGTAATTACAAGAAAGATATATATGTATGTGTTTATTTGTAATAATATAGACTATTATTACTTACTATTTATTATACATTGATAATAATGAATAAATTTTGTTGATCTACAATACAGGCATTCTTCATTTATTTGTAAATAAATAAATAAATCAATAATGGAACTACTATGGTTTATTGTATTATAATAATAATAACAATAATATATGACATTTTGGTTAGAATGTCAGGATGATCAGTAAATAAAATTCAACTGGCGCAGTCCGAAGATCATTCCCAATTTTAACTCAATTTTTATTTATTATTATGGGAATAATCAATTCCAATTTTGCTCTAAAAAAAAATAAATTTAATGTTTTGCTATTTTTGCATATCAAGGCAGTTCATTCGCTCATTCAACGTTGTCGTTCATTTCACTTCTCCTAAAAGTTATAATTTTTCTGAAATGTTTTTATTTATTATATTCTAAGAATTTATTTTACCGGGCTCATTGAAAATAAATAATGATCGACAACACACCCCTTGATTGTTTGAAATACGTAATGGCTTTCCAAAGCAGGTTTAATATTAATTTAAACTTTGTAGACAAAGAAAAACAAAAATCACGATGCCAATTTCAGGGCTGGTAAATGAATAATTCGGAATCGACGCTATTTATTACATGGATTTATTTATTTTTAAAAAAAAACATGAATTCGGAATTTTTCTTGAACGGAGTGGAGTGTATTAATTACGAGAATTTTATTTTTTTCCAAGTAGTGCAAAGTAAATAATTTTTCTAAATGTATATAAAAAATAAAAATATTTGTGTGATAAAAAATAAAAATAGAAAAAAATCAACCGACTATTTTTTCCGCTTTTTATATGGGAATGTTTATTTTTGAATGGAATGGAAAAGGAAAATTTCTTATTTGTGTGTGTGTGGCGCGCGCGCCATATGATCGGCACAAAAAATTCCTTTCGGTTTAGGTTTTATTTGTATTGTAACCTATTTGCCACTGCATTGTTGTTGTATAAATGCTTTCATGTATATATAAGAATTGAATAATGACACATTTAAATTTATAGTGCCTACGTAAGTTATTTTATAATAAATTCGAAAATATACTAAATTGAGCTAAAAAATTTATCGTATAGGAATATATATATTCTTTTTAATATTTATTTTTTTTTAAATAGTAGTTATAGTAAAAAGGAATAATTATAATGGTGGCTATATAATATTACTAATAGAAGATAACAAACCCGAACTAATTTTAAATAGATAATAAATTATTTTGTTCGAAAACTAGTTTTATATTATTGTTGTTGTTGTTGTTTGTTGTTGTTGTTGTTCTAGAATTGCTATGCTTGAAATAGCGACAGTTAGGTTGGTAAGGGTAAAGTTGATAATTACAATAAAAACTTTTATAAGGAAACTTGTAATGCCAAGAATAAAAATTTAATTACCAATTATTTAATATCTTCATATAATACTAATCGCTACCGCCATTATCGTCATCGTCGCCACCATCATTATAACAATAATAATTGATTGCTGCAATCAATTGTCTTGTCTTTTTCTCGTTACCGATCCATTCCATTCCATTACAGTCAAAAGTCCGGTTTTTACGTTTTCATCTGAATTAATTGATAAAATGACAGACTAAATAAAGTTGCATTATAAAGAGATTGATTTTAATTGATTGTCTAGAGTTCTTTTCTTTCTTAAAAAATAGTTCATATGATTAGTTTTGAATTTATTTAAAGAAACTAAGATCGTACGAATTTGGATAAGCTTATGCAAAAGTAAATGGTGTGTGTGTGCCCTGCACACGTGCCCATTTTTTAAAACGAGACGATCTAAATATTGCCACATTTCTTTCTTTATAAGTGCAAGAAGAAAAAATTAAAGGATGTTGACATATTAGGTAGAATTCTAATGGTGATGATGATTATAACAACAAAAGTAAGCATTTAATTAATTTAATTAATTAATTAATTAATTAATTAATCAGTTAAAAATAAACAATTTCGTCGCGATTTCAGAACAATATAACGATAACACGTATTTTCGTAATATATTGTTGACGGCGTAGTTGATTCATGGTATGATGATGATTATATATGACTATTTTTACATATCACATCAATTCTATTTTTTCCCAACGTGTTTTTGTAAAATTTAGGGGCTCTACGTTTTGTCACTTGCATAATAAAAAATTTAAAATACATGTATATTTAGCGCATATATACAGCATTTTTAAAATAATAAAAAAAAATTTTTTTAATCATTATCAAAATATACTGTTTATTTTATTAATATATATATGGTTTGTTTTATCATTAAAGAACCAATGATGTTATAATAATGTTTTCGTTTGATCTTTTTTTTTTTTTTTTTTGAGTGAAAATTCTTATGATTATAATTATGGTTATTACTGTTTTTAATTTAATCAATTCAAAAAATATATATATATATAATATATGAATGAGCCTAATATGATATTTAAAATAATAAAAAATTTTTTTTTATAAGAATGAATTTTAAATAATATAATATAAAAAAAAAAAAAAAAAACTTTCATCTCCATAATTATCTTTCGTGTGACACGAACTTTTTTATCATATTATTATATAAACGTTGAATTTTTTCTTTTTTTTTATTTTACATAAAAGTTAATAATAACAAAATAAAAATCAAAATCTTAGATATTTTTTAAATTTTTTACTATCTTTAATAATAAATATTTAAAGAAAAAAAAAGTTTGAAAACAAATTTTTTTTTTTTTTTGTTAACAAGAGAACAAAACCAACTATAACCCCTTCCTTCGTTTGCTAAAGGATACATCATTTTTTTAATAATAATACCCCTACTTTTCAATTAATATATATATTTTCGCTTGGTGAGCTTTCTTTTAATAAATATATATATATATAGATATATTAGTTTTTTACTTTTCAAAAAATTATCTCCAGAATTTTTTTAGTTCTTTAAAAAAAATTTTATCCTCACAAGAAATAATTTATTTTACTTCTTGTAAATATACCTTCACCACGTTTCAATCGTATATATATTATATATTATATATATATATATATATATTCATATTAGTTAATCCATAATCTGACCACACAATAATAAATAAACATACACACGCACATACATATATTGAAAGATAGATTTCTTTGACAAAAAGAATCTTTGATTATTTATTATTAGGTAAAAAAAATAAATATATAAACAAAATGAATTCAGAAACAAAAAGAAAATTTTGTGGTCTTATCATGTTTGATGTGCCTATAATATCAATGAAATCAAAAAATAACAACGATGATCTTGCTAATAATAATAGTAATAATAATAATACAAGAGATATAAATCCATCATCCTATGAATCTTTGAATAATATCAACGGTCCTTCAATAAATCATCATAATCCAATATTTATACAACATAATAATAATAATAACAATTCAGATTTCTCCACAACATCACAAGCGCTGGCAGCCGGTGCTGCAGCTAGCGAAGAAGATTCCAATAATAATTATAATAATAACAATAACGATGATAATGATCATTGCGATAACAATGGTGGTAAAATGACACAACAAAAAAGAACTCCAAGGCCACCAAATGCATTTATCTTATATAGAAGAGCTAAACAACCTGCAATAATTGCTGCTCAAAGACATCTAACTAATGCTGAAGTTTCACGTCAAATTTCTGATATGTGGAGAAATGAAACTGAAGAAGTCAGATTAAATTGGGAGAGATATGCAGATAGAAAAAAGCTCGAGCACATGCAGATTTATCCAAATTACGTTTACCGTCCCAACAAGAACAAATCAAAAGTTGATAAACGTCGTCAACGTAGACAAACTTCAATGTCCTCTGCAAAAGAATTGGCCAGCATCGAATCTTCTTCTTTAGTCAATACCAATGATGATAATAATAAATCTAATGTAGAAACTAACGTTAATAGTGGTAGCACTGGGCCCATGCGTAGAAAATCAAAAAATAACAAGGTTCCTATTAAAGTAGAAATAAATCCACAAATGGCCTATGATATTATTAATGGATACAATATGCAATCACGACAACTTAGCGATTCCTCTTCATCCAATAACAATTATGCTTCATCTACACCTACTCCCACCACCGCCACACCCACAACTGCCTCCGCAATACTTCCAAGTCCTTTGTTAGCAAGCCAATATACTGATGTCCACAATCATCATCAACAGCAACAAGAATTCGTTCCATCACAAAACGCCTCCACTCACACCACACCTTTAACACCCATAACACCTCCAAGACAACAAGCTATTATTTGTAATAACGAATTTAAATTTCGTCAACAACCACAGCAGCTTCAACAACAGCATGATCGTCAATATCAAAATAACATGTTAACTTACGTCCCATCGAACGAAGGGGGCATTAATCATCCTCTTTCACTTCCAATTACATTTGCCCCCAATGCCTCATTCAATGGATTAACTACATTTCATCAAGCCTCTGAAGAATATCATCCTCATCAATCAATTGACCCATTACTTTGCTTCGTTCCCGATGTTGCACAACAACAACAGCAAATGTTAGCAGAAATGATGCTTCACGAACAACATCCTCATCAACATCAACATCATCAACACCATCACCATAACCCTGATTCATCCCCCGCCTCCACCGATATTCAATATTACGAAACGCCTACAACTGCTGTTGATGCTACAGTAAATGGAGTTCTTGGTAATCATCATTCATTTACTGACATGCTCGCGGGACTCGAGTTTCAAAATCATTATTTGACTAACGGTTCTGTGAATCATGGTAATAATGGTCTTGCTGCAAATCAACAACAATATCTTCATTAAACAAATCGGTTAATTAAATAAATATATATATTAATTATTTTTCAATAAAAAAAAAAGTGGGTATATTATTATTAAAAAAAAAAACAAAATAATTCTTTTTTCTTTTTCTTTTTCTTTTTTATTTATTTGTTATTATATTATAATCTTATTTTTCATCTAATGTTTAAAAATATTTTTTTTTCGGGGTTTTTATGAGGGGTTTTTTTAGATATATATTTTTTTAGCTCTTTTTAATTTTTGAACTTGGTTACTTTTTCTTTTTCTTTATTTATTTTTCCCTTTTTTTTTACATGTACATTTTTCTTCATTTCATTTCATTTTTTCCCTTTAGTTTTTTTTTTCTTTTTGCGCACTCTGAAAAAAAAAAACATTGTAGTATAATTACATATATATATAAATACATAATATATATATATATATATAATATATATATATATATATATATACCATATATACATTTTGTTTTAAAAAAACAATGATAATTACTGAAGAAAAAAAGAGCGCATGAAAAATAATTTGTTCTAAAAGCAGAAAGGAAGAAATTACTATTACCAACACGCATAAAAAAAGAAAAAAATATATATTTAATCACACAGCACTTTAATAGAATTTATTTAATTAGGTGTTTATTTTTAATTAATTAGATTTTTAATTTATTTCTTTATATTAGAAAAAAAATTATTATTAGTATTTTTTATATTTTTAATTCTTAATTATTATTCCATTAATCTCGAATATTTAATATTATATATACTTGTATATATATATAATAACACCTAAATGAATCGTTTATAGTTTTTTTTTCTTTATTTTTTTTTTTTTTTCAAAAAAAAAAAAATAGTTAATTCCTTTGGCAAACAAACAAACAAAATTTTCCACTCTTTTTTTTATTTTGTAAATTAGAAAAAAAGCAGAAAATTTTTTAATAAACATATATGGGTATAGTTGGTTAATGTTCTCTCTCTTTAAAAAAAAAAAAAAATCTTTTTTCTAAAATGTTGTGTGGTTTTTTAATTATTATTTTTTTTTTTTTTTGTGCGTGATTTGGTGGTAATAATGAAAAAAAAAAAAATGGGATGAATAAGAAGATTAATGATTGATCGATTGATTGGTTTCTCCTCCATATTCTTTCTCTTATTATTATTATTATTATTATTATTATTAATGTTTAAAACAATGATTCTCTCCCAACAACAATATAATAATAATAATTACAATGTTATTGTTGTTATTTTGTTTGATCGTCCTGTAAATTTTATATCTACCAAATTGACCATACTTTGTCAATAGTTAGAATGTAATTATTCGCACATATAACCTTTGGACTATTCACTTTGCATTGTAAGATTCAGTGATATCTTTAAAGCTTAACAAATTCTTTGAAATGCAGGAGGTTTTCCATAGTCCTTTTCTATTGAAAAGCCCCAAATATCTTGCTGAACCACACGTTAGACAATATATAATTGTTCCTCGAAACATTATTAATAATGATATTAAAGAATAAAACGAAAAAAAATTTTCAATCCAAAAGTTATTTAGTCTCTCGTGTTCATAATTAATTACTATGTAAGTTTCTGCGATTTGTAATCGATCAACTGATTTAAACATGTTTCAATTATTACTTTTCTTCTAAATCTGAAGAAGATGAAGACGGGGAGAGAAAACTATTTAAAACCTTTGAATATTTTTTTCTTGAAATTGCTTTTAATCATTGATCATTAACATCTATAATAATTCATTCACTTTATTTTATTGATTTGCTGGTCGTACCATCGTTAATAATTATCCTACTACTAATTACACATACATTCTTTATATTTCTAAAAAATCATCTCATAATGAAATTTGCAAATTCTCTACAAAATTTAATTTTCCTAATTAAATTTATCTTCTTTTTCTTTTTCTTTACTGAAACTGTAATGGGACATGGTCACATGGTCTGTAATTTATTCAATAAAATATTTTTCATTTGATTTTGACATTTTTTTAAAATTTTCTTATTATCCTATTATCAGTTCTTTCCTAAACCACGTATTCCGTCAGGTGATGAAAATAATGGATTAACACTTACTAGAGGTCCAACCCAAGCATCTCCATGCGCTGGTCTCAAGAAAGGTCCCGCGTTGGCAAACTTTCGCCCAGGGCAATCGATTAACGTTTTGTGGGAAATCGGTGCAGCACATGGTGGAAATTGTACAATCGAATTGTCGAAAAACGTCAACGATTCAAATTTTAAGAAATTAAAAACTTTAACCGATTGCGCCAATGTAGTTGGAAACAATTTGAGTGCAAAAGTTGACTTACCAAGAAATGTTGAATGCGAATCGTGTACTTTGAGATTCCGTTGGGAAGCAAAGACTACCAATGAATTATATCTTAATTGTGCTGATATTAAGATTAGTCGTAAAAAAAATAAACGCCGTAGTGCTTATATCGATAATGCAGCTGCTAATAAAAATAATATTCTTTAATTAATATTAATATTCTTCTTTTTTTTAAATTTAATATTTGTTTTTCTTTGTCTTTAATTAATTAATTTGTTATTGTCTATTTATTAAATTTTTTTTATTATATTTAATAATTCACTCTTTCATATATGTATGTTAAATAATAATAATAATAATAATAATAATAATAATAATAGGAAAATAAATATATTTATCTAAAGAGGACTTTTCATTTTTTTTTTTTTTAATATTCTTTTGTAATTTCATAAACCCAAATTTCTCAAGATTACGTGACATGTATAATGAATGAATACGAATGTGTCAAGGCTACTTTTTACTAATGCGTGAATCTGTGAGAACAATAAAATTAACCAATCAAAAAGAATTTTGCATCCAAATACCCTCGTAAATTTCAATTTCGCATACAACAATGATAAATACTAATACTAAATACTAAAAATAAGAAACGTATGATATGCATGTACGCATGTGGGTATTTGTGTAAACCCTAAATCTGGTTTACAAGGGCACAGCATAATAATATTTAATGTTAATAGAAATGAATGTGACTTGATGATCATAGACACATTTCTAAATAGTATTTTACTGTATTGATTAAATGATTCATGAGACAAATTAATTTTAATACGGTTTCTTTATATATTTGGTCTTGGTGTTTTTTTTTTCCTTTGATTATTTACCAATATTGAATAACAAAGAAAATTCCTTAGCAATACCCGATGATCATTACATAATTTAACCGGAAATAAGATAAATATATTTATACATTATATAATATATCAAGTATTACGATTATATACTATAGATGTATGCGTATGATGAAATGAGTCAAAACATGAATAATAATAATTTATCGCAAAAAGCAAGCAAGTACATATTAGGAAAGAACAAGTAAATGAAGCAATAGATAGAATTGTTTATATAAATTAATAATTATAAACACAAAACAATAAAGCGCGATTTTTTTAAAGTTTTAAAATTCTGTAACGTAAAAATTTACCGTAAAAAAATACATTAAATCGTACAAAGACGACGAGGTTAACTAAAGGCGTGAATATTTCTTAATATTGTTTTCTTTTTTTTAAACAAATGATAATATTGTTCTACTTTGTTGGCTAGATTAAATAATAAAATAAAAATATAAAAACCAAAAAAACGCGCGTGTTCAATTAATTCATTATCGGATCGGATCGAAACGAAATAACTAATATTGTTATTATAATTTATTATAATTATAATAATTATAATCTAAAAATAAACTAAATGAAATAAAACTCTATTTTATATTTTATAATCGGTGTGATTTATTATCACTTATCATTTCAATTGGATCACTTTTTTTTGGCTCAGGAACTACTCGGTATTTTTTTCGTTCTCGTTTAAAATCAATTAGTTAAAATCGTCACGCAATTATTTTTATTATTGAGGGGTCTTCGCTTCTAATTTGTTGCATCTGATTATTCACCAACTAAATTAATTAATACTAATTAACGGACGAACGTACCCGACGTTCAAGTTTTGTAAATAATAAAAATCATGTACGAAAACCCCTATTGAACAAACAATTATTTATCTTGTTTCAAAAAATAAACATTTTAATAGTTTTTTTCAACTTGATTTGGTTTTTTATACATTTTTATTATATACATATATACAATTAAATTAAATTATAAATAAATAAATTATAATTACAATTAAAATAAATAAATTATAATAAATTATAATCAAATAAATAAATTATAATAAATTATAATTAATTAAAATTCTAATTCAAATTCACATTTATATTCTCTGCCACCTTCTTTATTTTTAACAATGGCAGTAATTTCGTCTCGATCGAAACAAAGTGTACATTCAAATTCAGTATGTCCATTTATTCCTGAATGAATATCAGGTATTTGTATAATTAATTGTCCTAAGTGATGGACACCAGGTTCATCGCAATACTTTGTATCATTATGTTCTGATATGTACAAAGCCAATTTTACAAATTTCATATCAGCATGTCTTGATTTAAAAACATTAGAAAATTTCCGACCAACTTCAACTCGTTGACCTTTCTTGGCTATCTGATGAAACGTACGTATTCCTCCGTTTTCTCTCCTTCTTTCAATTGGATGTTCATCGGTCCAATCAAGTGTATTTTCTATCCCATAACTATATTTCAATATTCTATATTTTATCACACCTGTATTCAACCCGTACTCAACTGCTCCCCTAACAACTGCACATGCCGGTTCAGAGGGAACTGAAACAATAGAAACGTGTTTTTTAAATTCACCCTTAATTCTTTTTTGTAAATAAAGTGATTCGCTAAATCCACCAACCAAAAACATTGCAGAACAATCACCGCCACTTTCCTCTAATTGCCTACGTATCAATCGAATTATTCTGCCAATAACGGGATCAAAAAATGTTTTGACAGTTTCGTAATCCAGCGTAATAACCCATTCATTCTCTTTCAATTCATCTTTTCGTGGATCTATTTGTTTGTTTGTTTGTATGTTTGTGTATGTGTATGTGTGTAAGTGTTTTATATTTCATAATTTGTAAGTTAATTTTTAAAAAAAAAAAAAATTAATACCAGTTATATAATCTTTAAGTGATGGACAAATCTCTTCAATATCAAAATCATATTCAAAATTCTCATTCTCTCCATCTTTGAATTTAAATTTGACGTTATCGCAAAATTTTTGAATCATATATTGATACTGTCCATATTTTTTCTCCTTTAATGATTTTATCGCATCAACACCAACATTTCTACCAATATATTTAACAAATTCTAAATCAACAAATGATCCACCACACAAATCTCCAGAATGCTCTGTAACTTCTCCCAGTTGTTTGTTTGGTAATAGTTTACGCATGGTCAAATCAACTGTACCTCCACCACAATCAACAATTAAATATTTTTCTATTGAAACATCAGTATTTGCAAATATATTTAAATATAGTATTATATATATATATATATATATTCTTTTTTACTTACTTCCTCTAATTCTAAAAAAATGTTTCTTCATTAGTTTCCTACAATACATTGCTGCAGCTTCAGCTAAATTACAATAAATAATTTTTAAATAAATATAGCATGCATAAGTCTATTTTAAAAATATATGATTTAAGCCTTACGTTCAGTGATAATTTGTAAGTTTGACGAATCTTTGTTATTTATTAATTTTGCATCGTAAGCACATTTTTTTATTGTTAATTTTGCATGAGAGGACCATTCACTTGGAACAGTAAGAATCAAGAATACATTTTTCTTGAATTTTATACCAGGCCAACGAGCTTTAATTGTTCGTTTTGCGTGCTAAATAGAAAATATTGTTTTTGCATATTAAAAAAAGTACATATCAAGTACACATTGTGTAATAATAATAATGATAACAACAATAACAACTATTTATGTTCACATACCTCGCCTTTCATATTAAAAAAAAAATAGGTCAGTAATAATTTTTTTAAATAATAATAGTAATAATTTATAAATTTACCTACCAATGGCATGAAGGTAATCAGTGATTGCTTTAGTGAAATCTAAACCATCTGGTAATTTAGGTTTTTCTTCTACTGATATCTTTTCACTCAAGTGTAATTTAAATAGTTCCACTATTTGATTTTTACTTACATCATTGATGATATCGTTGGCAGTTGGTCCCTTTGATAAAGCTTGATATCCCCAAGATTTAACATTTTCAAGGTTTTTATCATATTGTAATACTGAATTGATCTTTAATTTTCCAATTGAATCAGGCCATACAGAATTTGTAATGATTTCTGGGTGTGTCCTGTTCGAAAAAGCATATCCCTACACATACATGAGAGAATGTGTGAACGAACATTTATGTATGCATGTATGACAAAAAACAAATTTTGAATTTAGTTATTATTAGTTTTAGTTTTAGTATTAGGTAGTTACCGAAAAAGTGCAGCCAAAATCTACGTAAATTATCATATTGTTAGAACTAATATTTTTATATAACAACACGCGATAATAATTAATAATTCGTTACCTATAGAGAATACTACACGAATATCATTTTTCAAGTACATTATTTAATAAAGCAATTGTTTGTTATTTTATTTAGGACAAGATTTAGATAGATAATAATGAAATAATGATTTAAATAATTTAACAATTTATATACAAATTTTTTTAAAAAAGCCCTCTTAATCGTAATGAATAATAAATGAAGTTTTGGATTCGGGAATCTCTATATCAAAGATAAAAAAAAAAACTCATTTATTTACTGTTTTGTTTTGTTTGTATTACAAAAGTAAAAACATATGACCTTTTTCAAGCATAATTTAGCATAAATATTTTATTTTAGTAATAATAATATTTAAAAATAATGAACTTTTTTTTACTGGTTAATGTACACATAAAATAAATATAAATACTATATATTTGACAAATTAATTAGGTAGTAATTATTTTATCTTACTGTATTGTCTTCATTAGTTGATTATTTAAAGACTTTACCATCTGCAAATTTCTTACCATCCAAAGTCTCATCCCAAGCCTTTGATAATGATAAATGTAATAATTATAAAATTAATTAATAATCAGCATCATCATTATTACGTAGTGGCAATAATATCAATCTAAATACTTACAATAAAAGCTTCAAAGCTTTCCTTAGTTTTAGAATCTGAAGGATCAACCTTTTTAAATTCGTAACTTTCAAAATCTGCAGCATCAGATACTGTTATTTTTATAAACAAAAAACAAAATGGAAAAAATTATTATTAAGTTATTATTTTTAATGCTTTTGAAATAAACAATGATTAGAAATTAAATTATAACGACAAGCCTTCTTCTGGTATTTCTTGACCGCGAATAACAAAGTAACCAGCGATCTCGTTCTTATTATCTAAATAAAAATAAATAAAATTTTAAATCAATCTTTTTTTTTTAAAAAAATTTAATCTAAAAAAATATATTTTACCTTCACCCAACACTAACAAACTTCCAAAAGCATATTTACGAGCACGGTCCAAACGATTATAAAAGCCTCCAATAAGATTAGAACTCATGAATACTTTTGTCAACTCACTATTATACTTATAATCTACACGCCAAATTGAATACCCTTCTGGATCAAAATGCTCCCAGAACCAATTGACAGCAACTGGTCGTGTATCATTATTAGAATAAACACGTTTCCACTCATCTAAATTAAGCTTACTAGGTGGCAATGAATCCAGTTTGCTTTTAGGTTTTGGTTCAGGCTTTACTTCATCATCATCATCACCTGCTACCGCTGCTTCTGCTTTTTTTGGTTGTGGAGATTCTTTTGGTTTTGATTCTTTCTTTTCTTTTTTAGGAGCTATATATAAATACACATTGAGTAAAAAGTATATATTTAAATAAATAAATAAACACATTTTATATAAATTCTTTTATACTTACGAGTATAGACTGCTGCAACATCTGCTAAAGTTACATCTCCTAAAACTTTCTTAAAAGGTGGTTGATTAATAAGTGTTACATACCATCTGCTAATATTCTTGTGAGCTTTACGAAATTCAGAATCCAATACAAGTTTGAATGGCAAATAAAGTGCAGTAGCAACTGAAATATCTGCCAATGTGATACGATCTCCAGCCAAATAGGTTTGGTTCAATAAAATTTTATCTAAATTACTGAGTGTATTTTTAAGACTATCAACAGCCAAATTATGAGACTATAATTGTTTAACAAAAAAAAAAAAAAATATATATATATATATATGTTATCAAGATTAAAATTCAAGTTTTTGAAATTATAATTAGCATAAAATTATCATTAATTATATTACAGCTTTGTTATATTGAGAGATTCCCAGAATAGGGTTGATCCAAGTGCTGGCTTGTGGAGTAATTTCATTCTCTGCAAAAAAAACCCAATTTATAACTTTTGCTGCTTCTTTTTTGTCCTTGCCTAATAATTGAGTATCTTCTTTTTGACTAGCAACTATTTAATTTCATAATAAATAATAATCATAACAACAATGATATTGATATTGAGTAAATTTTCTTTTATATGCAACTTAAATTTCATTTAGAATAATATACTTGTAAAATCAGGAAACAAATCTCAATCATAAATTAATCAGTCAGGGATAACTGTTTATATAATATTTCATCATTTTTATAAAAACAAAAAGAATGATATATATAAAATTTCAATTACCATAATATGCAATTGCGCCAGATTCAGTAAGAAAAGTATCACCTTCGGTATTTTCAAAGGTGGGAACCTATCATTTGAAAAAAAATGAGCCAATAGCCAAATAAATAAAGGAAAAAACAAATGGTAGACATATTAATAAGATTATTTTTTTTTAAAAAAAGCAAACCAATGCAAAATTTTAAAACCATATTAAATAAATATACCTTTTCAGTTTGGAATTTATTCAAATATTCGGGTTTTTTGTTATCTGTACCAAATTCAAATTCTGAAACTTCAAGATCAACACCATTATATATTGCAGCAATAAGTACTTTGAATACACGAGGATTGTTTGGATAGGAATAAATTTTCTTTTATATAAATAAATTTGAGTAATTATTACATACAAATCAAGTTAATCAATACTTTTTTCTTTTCAATTGATACAAATTATAAAATTTTACTAAATAGAAAACTTACACCGATTGATGCCATATTTATAAAATTATAAATTAGATGTGTAGATAGATGATATGTAGAAACAGAGCAAGCAAAAAGAAGAATTAATAAAGACAAAAAAATTTCTTCCAAACTATTACTATAAATCAGATCAAAATGGTTGATTGGATAATTAGATCATGAACAAACATCCGTGTAACATCACAAAAATATTTTAAAAAAAAATTTTTTTTTGCAAAGAAAAAATTTTTAAATTAATTTATTCAAAATGGTAAAATTCTTGAAACCAAACAAAGTTGCGATAGTATTATCTGGCAGATATGCGGGTAAAAAAGTGGTGATTGTAAAAAATTTTGATGATGGCACTAAGGAACGTCCATACGGTCATGCCATAGTAATTGGAATAGAAAGATATCCATTAAAAGTGACAAAACGTATGGGAACTAAACGTATTGCCAAACGATCTCAAGTCAAGCCTTTTATAAAAGTCATCAATTACAATCATTTAATGCCAACTCGTTATACTTTTGAATTGGAAGATATCAAACAATTGGTTAGTAGCGAATGTTTCAAAGACCCAAGTCAACGATTAACAACCAAGAAGACTTTAAAAAAATCTTTGCAAACAAGATATAAATCAGGAAAAAACAAATGGTTTTTTACTAAATTAAGATTTTAAAAATAAAAATGTTGAAATTGGTGAGTTTTTTACTTATTTTTTAATTTTGGATTATTAATAACACAATATTTTGTTTCTATTACTATCAACAACATCCACGCCATCATCATTAATTAAATTAATTTTTTTAAATAGCTCAAAGAATATACAAAATAAGAGAAAGAAAATATTTTCTATAAATGTAAAAAAATTTTAATTAAAAATTTTTATTATCACTTATTAAATTAATTATTTTCTCTAAAACTTGATTATCTAGATTATCTTTCATTTCGTTGATATTGTTATCTAGACTATTTTTCATTTCATTGATTATGGTTTCCATTGATTTCGAGTCTTTACATTTTATACAACATTTTATTAAAGCTAAATAAATTTTTAAATCTGGCATAACTGGTGGTGATTCTCTTTTCATTTGATGTCTAACCACATTAATTGCATAATCAGATTCATTAGAATTTTTTGAAGCCATATCTAATACTACGTAATATAGTCCTTCGCTACGTCGATAACCTGCTGTTGGTATATTATTCCAGCGTGTCCAAAATTCATTGAAAAGTTTTAAAGATCCTAATTGACGAAAAATTGTAGATATTGTAGTTTGATTGTGATTTAAGTGAAATTTGTTAATCATTAAATCCTCTATTTTCCTAATCATTTTCAATATTTCTTGATGCCACAATCCACAATTTAAATTAACAGATAGAAAATTGAAATTTCTTTGTTCATTTTGCGGTAAACATGCTTCAAAAAGCATCTCAAAAATTTGTAAATTATCGATATTGTATCCTGATAATTCCATCATATCTAAAATTTTTAACATTTTATTTACATGTAAGTTGATTTTTTCAGGGTCAAATAAAAAATCTGGGTTTTGTGAATGGCATTTTAAAAGTATCAAATAAGTTTCATAGCTTGGCTCAAATCCCTCGCCTCTCATTACATCTATCATTTCCAAAGTTTTGTCTAAAGGAAATTGCATGCTGTCAATTTGATTGGCTAAAGCATTAAATCTGATGGTTAAATCATAATGGTCTCGATGAAAATTTGAGTAATTGTAAGATAATTGTTGTATTTTGGAAGTAAGTTTTTTCCAAGACTGATAAAACAAACTGTTTGAAAATTCATTACCATCATTACTATTAATGCTAATACTACTACTACTACTACTACTACTACTACTACTACTACTATTATTATTATTATTATAGTTTGGTAGAGGTGGTGGCGAGTAATGGATATATTGACTTTTAATAAAATCTTTAGTAATAAATGCCTCCTTATAAATTGCTTGAACATAAGATTTCATTAAAACAATATAAAAATCAAATTTCCATCTATCAGATCTTACCAATCTATCATCTTTTTTGATCAAATTAACATACTTGTTAACTAAATATTCACACTTTAGAAAATATCCATCTTCAGAATATCTTAACACTATTGCATAAAGTGGTTCGGGATTTGGTAGATAATTTAGTTCAGAAATAATTTTATCTAAATAAATTTGCGCAAATCTTATAAAAGATTTCCTTGACATTGCCCATATCAATTCAGAATATAATGACACTGATAACGACGATGACACTGATAATGATGGTGATGATGATAGTGGTGATGATGGGGATGAGTTTGACGACAATGATGATGATGATGAGGATGACGAGGAGATGAATAATTCATTACAATACGTTTTCAATATTTTAAAAAATTTTTTATTTGATCCAGGATATGAACCTAATGCCTAAAATAAATAAGTGATTCATTAAATGAATGGTTGCTGATTAATAAATTGAATGAATGGATGATTAATTAATTTACCCTAATTATTAAAGATAAGGTTTTTTCATCATAAGGCTCATTAAAATTTTTCATGAATAATTCAGCTAGATCACTTATATCTTTAAAAAATCTTAAACTATTAGTTGTGTAAATTAAATCAGGTCTTGTCAAAACACTGAAAGCCATTTGCCATAATTCCAAATCATTTTTCAGATTAATGGATTCTTGATTATATTTAACAATTTTTCTTTGACTTTTTGATGGGATTGGTTCATTTATAAAAATAAATTTTACAACATCCATTACAAGAAAATGATCAGTTGATAACTGGGCTACTTCCAAAAGATATTTAAAGGTTTCTTTAATGGGCAGAGCTGGTGATTTATGCACTTCAAAATCATTGTGCATTTGTCTAATTATTTCTATTGCGTTGAAAAGATCTTCAGTAATGATACAAGATTTTAAAAGAACATGATATATTTCTATGGTTGGTGCTATATTTTTATTTTTAAGTTCAATGAATTCTTTTTTGATTGAAAAAACGTCTTTATTATCTAAATAATTTTGCATTCTTTCAAGATAATTTGTTTGTTCTTTTTTTATTTTTGAATCTATCATTACACTCAAAACATCCGACGAATTACTCGAAAAATCTTCTTGAATCAAGGTTGAATATTTAATTTTCTTTTTCTTATCATCGTTATGAACTATATGATAATATTATTAATGAATAACAGCAGTAAAAATCAATAACTAGCAACAACAAACAGTTTTTTTCATACCAAAAATATTTGACTTGTAAAATTTCTTCCACGTATTATTATTTCTTATATTTTTTGAAATTGAGAGAAATAAAAATTGCTTTTTTATTAGAAATCGTAATGTTATATAATTATTATTTGTAATATAATTATTTATAAAATTTGAATTTCTAGAGGAAAACATTTTTTAGAAAAAAATTTATGTTAATGATTATCTTTGATTTACATTCTACATTATTACTCTCAAAAGTACAACAAAAAATAAAAGCAAGCTCGAGAATAAATTCACATTAAGCTCACATATATATACAACATTATAATATTATTCACATTAGAAATATCTTTGGGAAAAGAAGAATCATATTTTTCTTAAAAATTGATTTTTTGAGCAGGTCATATATAATCATCAAAGTTTTGCGGTCGTTTCCCATCCAAACGAGATAATTCATGAACAATATTTTAAACTCTTCTCGTTTTAAGAAACAATTAATTCTATAGACAAAAGTCATAAAAAAGTTATATATGAAAGCAACCCAGTCTAATATGTTTTGTGCACGCGATTTAGTAAAAACTATTGTTGCGCCCAAGCTGTTAAATAATTATATAATATATTAATATGGAAATAATTATTTTTAATCCGAATATTTGTTTTTAAATTAGTATTTCTATACATATAAATATAGCCAATAAATGAGTGGACTGATGAATAGGATGAGAAATGAACGAACGAATTAGATTACTATTCCTCGTCCCAATAAATCTAGTATATATATATATATATATTTGTTTATTTGATTTAAAACAATATATTATCATTATTGTATTTTTGAGGCGCGTTTTACGAATTTTTTATATTTGTAAAGACAAATAGAAAAAAATTTTCTTATTAACAGGTACATATATTTTAAAAATAGAAAACCATTGTATAATAATCGTTTACAACATAAATGAATTTTTTTGTTTTTCTCTTTTGCAAAACAAAAGTCAATTACATAATTAAGAAAGGTTTAAATAATAATATTCATTTTTTTGAATTGGAACCAATTGATCAAAATGAAGAATAAATGAAATAAATACACCGCATTCAATTATAGCATATTATGCAAGGGGCCAAAATATTGTATGCGTGGATATGTGTGGATAATGTGTAAAGTTAAAACAATTTTGTAAAACATAATATTTTTCCTACATTTAGCATGATATTTACTTAATCCTAAAAAAATTGAATTAGTTTAATCGGCTACAAAAAAATTATATTTACATTTACGATCTGTTTAATAACACATCGTGATATATTAGAAAAAACCAACTTTCTCGGCACGTCGTTGCAATATTATTATATATCGTATACAGATAATCGTATACGATTGACCGTAGTAATCTAATAATGATCAGATTGAATTGGAAATTATTTGCTCCTCGAATAATAATGTTTATATTTATGGTTATGCAAATTGTAAATAAATTGGTCATGCTATCAATCCAATTGCCGAAATTATTAGCATTATGCTGAAAATGGTTTTTTTGAACGTCCAATGATGATATATCTATTGTATACGATGTTGTGCTTGAAATTGGAATCGACTTCAAATTAAATTTAGCCGGCTAGTAAAAAAGGAACTGTAATGTTACCCAAACGCCCACATTTAGTTATACAATTTTTGAGTTGATTTGCATCATGTAAAGATATAAAGCTTTTCTTTAATTTGATTATTTTTTTTAAATAATACAACAGTTCAAAACATTATTTTATTAGTAGTGAATTAATAAACATGTGAAAAAACGCCATGTAAAGAATTGTGTGGGTGAATTTTTCTCCGAGAAATCAAGATCTCTCTTTAATATTATTTAAATATATGGATTGATAAAGAATATATTAATATTGATATATATTTTACCCGATAATGTAAACAATTACCGTAATAATAACTTCTAGACATGTAATGTTCACGACGTACACAAAATGGTGATTATAACGAACCATTATGTACTACTGTCGCTTTTTATGCAAAAATTGGTGTGCCCTATATAAGCAATACATATGGCATAGTAAGTGAAATAAGAACAAATTTAAAGAATTATAAATTATAAATTATATTAATTTAAAACTCGGAAACTTCAATTTTTTAAAAATAGAAAAATATGTAATTAATAAAAAAAATATAATTCAAGTCAGGAAAATGCTATATAAAGCTAATAAGATTTGCCAAATTTTTTTAGGATAATAAATATATGGATCATGATATATATATGTACACAAATACACACATATATATATATTTGATTTATAACTTATCATGTAATAAGTTCATATCAAATTAATCACATATATTATTCCATAGCAAATACTAAACAAAGCACATCAAATATGCAATATTACTGATCACTATGGCTCCACAGAGTTATAAATATTGTTTGGTGTACGTGAATGAGTCGAGAAAGTATTAATTATCTATAATTAATTAATGTATGTTAGTAGAATACTTTAAATGATCTATCTAAATTAGAAGTTCCCGAATATTGTTAAAATTATTATCATTGTTGAAAGAAAAAAATAGAATTTAAGAATAAAATATAAAGATTATTTGATAATTATTGAATACTTTGTATAGTGTGTATATATAAATGTTCATTAGAGAAAAAATGATTTATTTATTTATACAAACAAGTATAAGCTTGGTTGTATAGATAAATAAATCATTTTTTCTCACAATAATTAAAATCCCATTTACATATACCACTTCACAAGTATCCATTAATGATCAAGTTACTTTTGTTCACATATTATTTGCTGATAAAAAGTGTATATAAAAAATTATTATTTTACCGAAACCTTTAGTTGCCGGTAATGAACCATTGAGCTATTTTTTAGCTTCATGAAATAAACATCATCTTATGCTACCGACCAATTTACAAGTAATTATATGTTGGTGAATACAAAAAGATAACAACTTTGTTAAAATATAAATGATCTCATGTTTCGATAAGTTCAAGGCTCAGCTATCCATTCCATGCCAAAATAATTGCTTATTAAGAAAATATCCTTTGCAGGATTCATTACATTACCGAGGAGTATTATCAACAAAGGTGACATCAAGTCCTCTAAATACTGTGTGGTACTTGATTCACCATTTGCTAAAAAAACACCCGCAATGTATGTCTCAAAAGCATCGGCATGTACTTTAGTAGGACAGCCATCTGGGATATCGTTCCTGACATCCAGACGCAGTGCCAAACAGTAGGCAGCCAAGACTCTGTTACAGACCAATATTTTAACTACTGACATTATGTCACTTTTTGTTGCGTTTGTTCTTTTGTAAAAATTTGTTAGACAAAATTTGACCACACATACTTCCAATACTCTATCACCGATAAATTCATAAACTTCCCATGTTCCATTGTGATATTTATAACCCAAAGCAAGTCGTTTAATACCTTCGTCTTTTATTTCTGGCAGTTGTGGCAAATTTTGAATAGTTCCTCGATATTTATCAATGGATTCGCTACTATTACTTTCATCGACATCATCATCATCATCGTCAATTATGATGGGTTTATATATGCTTTCACCAACATTTTGCAATGATGACTGTTGTGAGAATTGTTGTTGAGGAGATTGTTGTGGAAATTGTTGTTGTTGTGAGAATTGTTGTTGTATAAATTGTTGTTGTGAGAATTGCTGCTGTTGTAAGAATTGCTGCTGTTGTAAGAATTGCTGCCGTTGTAAGAATTGCTGCTGTTGTAAGAATTGTTGCTGTTGTAAGAATTGCTGCTGTTGTAAGAATTGTTGTTGTTGTGGGAATTGTCGACTATAAATGGGTTGCAATTGTTGTTGTGTAGAGGATGAGGAAGAACATTGTCCTTGAATTCTTTGGTTGGTCATTTCGTTATTAAATAAAGCTGAATACCCAATTAAAATAATCGGTTACATTAAACTTACCTGTCTGTGTCAAAAGAACATGCGCGCAGCATGTTACACATTAAATTTTTAGTGATCGCCGCGCTATAGAGAGACATTTAAAGAAAATTGTGATACAGCTTTTCAAAGATTCCAAACCCATATCATTTATTATATGCTTTTATTTGTGTTAAAAATAAATAAATTCTAAAAAATCTTTTATTTAGTATATAATAATAATAAATGGAAACAGAAAATTATATTTAAAAAATTTTTTTTGTTGCAAAAGATTAGAAAACCAATCAATTAAACTATCAAATTAAACTATCAATTAAATAAATAATTAAAATAAATGATTTATTTATTTTATTTTATTTAGCCTTCTTGACCAAAATCATTTGTGAAATTTAAATATTGTTCAATATCAGAATTGTTGACGGTGGGTCTAGTATTTCTTATAGCTTTTATAAAATCTTTTTCTACTAACTCAGGTTCCTTCAGTTCGTCTGATTTAACATCCATCCATGTCATTTCTTTAGCATCTGGATGTCCTGGCGAACATGGAATAAGCATTCGTTTGGGTTCATTGTCACCAGTAACATCAGTAACCTAATTTTATATTAGGAATTAAAAAATGAATTATTATTATGATTTGCATTTGTGTAATAAACGTAAAATATACATATATCTATATATAGCTTACATATCTGAAATGCGTGGCCGTTTGAACTGCGCGTACAGGTTCCATTAAAGCATCTCGAACCACAACCGCAATATCAGCACCTGAATATCTATTTATATATACATATATATGATATTAATACTTGTAATAACAATCTCAAATTATGGATATATATACATGTACATATATTTTCACGCACACACACATGTGCTCTCTCTTTTTTTTTTCTATTACCCTTCAGTCATTTCAGCTAAGCTCTTATAATCTTCTTTTTTTAAGGCACAAAGAGTATTACCAACATTCAATTCAAACATTCTTGTTCGTGCAATAACATCAGGCAATGGTATGTATATTCTTCTCTCAAATCTTCTTCTAATTGCAGAATCCAATTGCCATGGAATATTTGTAGCACCAAGCACCAAAACACCATCGGAATTACTGCCTACACCATCCATCTGAACTAAGAATTCAGTTTTAATTCTCCTGCTAGCTTCACTTTCACTCTCACCACGTTTGCCACAAAGTGAATCTACCTCGTCAATAAAAATGATAGCAGGTTTACTTTCACGAGCCATTGCAAACAAATTTTTTACAAGTCTATATAGAAAAATATACATTATATATAGATACACAATATATAAATATATAATATATAGATATTTTTTTATAAAAAGAAATTATTAAATAAAACACACTTTTCACTTTCGCCCATCCATTTGCTAACCAAATCGGCGGACGAGACTGAAAAAAAGGTAGAGTCTGCCTCAGTGGCGACAGCTTTCGCGAGATATGATTTACCTGTACCAGGTGGACCATAAAGTAGAATTCCAGTCCATGGTTTTCTCTTGCCTTGTATATATATATATATATATATAAATACAGGATAAATATAACATTTATTGTTTTAAATAACCAACAACCAACAACTAATACATGAATCTAATTAAAATACATACCAGTAAATAAATGAGGAAATTTAATTGGCAATATGACAGCTTCTTTTAATGCTTCTTTGGCAGTATCCAAACCAGCAACATCGTCCCAATGTACATTTGGTTTTTCACTCACCATTGAACCTGCAATAATTATTATATTAAATATTTATATATTCTGTATAACTGAACAATCAAAAAAATCAATTATATAAATAATAAACATACAAGTAACATACTTGATAAGGCGTTACGTAATTTTTTATTATCTGGGTCATCGTCGTCATCACTGCCAGAACCTTTTTTTCTAAATAAACAAATAAATAATAACAAACGTCAATGCGTAAGCAAATGTTTATTTTATTGAAAGATATATATATGTCTTCTCTTATTACTATACTAACTTATTTTTACTACTACTTCCAGCACGTGCCGGACCACTTGCACCAATTGCTTTTTTTTGTTGTTTTTCATTTTTATTATTTAGATAAGTTTTTAATTGTTCCGCACGATCAAGATATTCAGTAAATTTTTTTCTTATAGAATCTTTTCTCTGGTCATTTTTCTCATCTATATTAATGATTTAATTGACAATAATGTACGACATGTATATGATAAATATATTCATGGGAACCGGTGTTAATGACACTTGAATATATATTTTTTAATCCTTATTAAAAAAGCCTGCATACATTTCATAGCAGCCATGAAGTATTCAAGCGCGTTTCCGTAAAGCTTGTAAGCTTGTTCATAATTTTCTTTTGTATCTTCTTCAGTAGCTTTTTTTACAATTTCAATCGCCTTCTACTTGAAAATTAAAACATGTAAAATTTTAGAGATGAGTAAGGAGTATATGTATTTAAATAAAGAAAATAAGAAAATTAAAAAAAATGATGAACTAACACCAAGGAAATCACAATTAGCCATTTGACAGATTACAATAGTATATTTAGTGCTATTTTCTCTTTATTTAATTTTTTGTAAAAAATGATGCTACAAACAACTTTTTTTGGGGTGAGATCTGCAATCGTTTTGCAGATAATGCAGATGATCTTTTTTGTTGATTTTCTCAAAATCGTTAAGCTGGTTTTGTAGAGATTATTTATTAAACCGTGTTTGCGTTGCAGATTTAAATATCATTCATTACCTTCTAACACTTTACAACATTCATCCATCCATCAATAAAAATTTCATCTCTTCTTATTGCTTACACGCAATTAACCCCATAGTTTCTTTCCATCGAGATTTTTTGGTAATATTATTTTTATTTCCAAAAATAAAACAACCATTTTGCCAACAATAAATAAATTATAAATGGCATAATGTGCTATTTTGTGAAACCGTTTTTGTGTTTTGAGACATATGAGACATGCTATAATTTGTACGCCTTGCATGCAATAGCTATTATTATTATACACGGCATAGATTAAATAATCATTTGTGGTATTAATTAATTAATAATATAATTAATTATATCGCTTTATCATTTAAAAAAAAAAAGAATTCAGGTGATATAAAGAACGATTGGCACTTTTGTCAGATTGGTGAATTGAAAATTCATTCATATATGTATGATATGATAGAATGGATGACCTGATGATCCTGAAATCCATTTCATTCTATTTTGTCAAACTAAACGAATTAATTAATTAATTAATTCGCAACTAATAAAAAATCAATTAATTAATTCGTAAGAAATAAAAAATCAATTAATTAATTCGTAAGAAATAAAAAATCAATTAATTAATTCGCAAGAAATAAAAAATCAATTAATTAATATAACACTTTTTCTCACCCTTCTTTTTTTTTTTGGCCCCTCGTCGGATACAGGGTTTAACTGCTTTTGTTGCGGAATTTTCGTCGAATTTGTACTTTCAAATAGTTTGTCATTTTGGTCATTTTAGGAATTTGAATTAAGGTGTGGCTCGTGTAACAAGTAACAAAAATATGCGCGCGTGTGGCTTTTAAAATATAGTTTTTTTTCCGAGAAAAAAAACACATGTGAATGAATTCATTCTTGACCTTTTAAAGTTCACAATAAAATAATCTGGAATAAAATAGAAATGCAATTAATTTCTGATTAAATGAAATTTTTTTTTTAGAAATATTCATGGGCAACTTTCCTTGAATCAGAGAGTGTATTAATTAATATTTGTTGTTGATGTTACATCTCTCCAACTTAAAAAATTTGAAACAGAATAAGAAATTAGCAATAAACATTTTTTAATTGAATTTGGAACTTCAATAATTTTTTTTTGTTTATTTTCTATCTTCTAAATAATTAATCAATCATCTATCTATCTATTTAGAAAAAATATACGCCATTATACCAATATCATTTATATATTTCTCTCTTTGCATTTATTTCTAAAGAAAGATTTCAACCTTTTAATTTAAAACAATTAACTAATTTTAGTAAATAAATTAAAGAATTAGAAAAATAGATTATAAATAAACATAAAACAACAAATAAACAAATAAAAAAAAATCAACATCGGATACAAAACATGTCGGAAAATCCGGTGACTTTAATTAAAAATAAATATTTATTGTGGATATATATGGATATTGATGGAATACAAATAATTACTTTCACTCCTTATAAAACAGGTTTTTTTTTTAAGGTTTTTGTGACACTAAAAATTTTTTAACATCAAATTTTTATTATTTAAAATAGAAATCGAGATTAGTTAATTAAATTAATTTGAAAAAAAAAAATTTTGAAAGTTAGAATTCAAATTGGAATCATCGTCAATACTACTATCATTCCATTACCTAACACGCCCTCCCGCCACAATTATTAATATTGTCGATTATCTAATTAAGCATAATTTGCATAAAATTGATCAATCTTTTCGTAAAAAAAAATCCGATTGGACATCAATATTGAAGATTTGATTTGTAACACAATTATTGAGGAAATGGAATAAAAACAAAACATTAATAATATTGTATAACTGTGTAAAAAAAAATAAAAACTCCTTTTTTATTTAATTAATTTTCTTTTATTATTATTAATGCAATTTTCCAGCTGTACAAGTAAAAATAATGATATGATGATGATTATGATGAATATGATGATGCGATGAATATGATTTTGTATAATGTGACTATTTATATATATTAGATTATATGATGTTTAATTAATGGTATATAGTAAAAAAAAATTGATAAAATGTCCTATTAAAATCATTATAAATAATTATAATAAAGTGTATTTACAAAAGAAGAAAAATTAATATTATTATACTATATATGTAATGTAAATATACATATAAATTTATTATATTGATTATATTATTAATATTAAATTAGAAAAAAAAGTGACTCGATTTAACCAAGTATAATTCTATCTATTTCTACCTTTATTCCAAATAACCATAATTCCCTTGACACCATTGTCTCTCCAAAATTATTATTTTCAAAACCAGTTAACTTGGGAAAAAAATTCCCAAAGTTTACTGGCTTTATTCACATCAATTCTCAAAAGCTTTTGAGCATCACTCTTTCTGAATTCGAATGAGCTTGCAGCATATTTCCTTGATGCAGAAACTAATGTGTGTTTGGCAGTCAAGTATTGAATTGGCGTGAGCCTTAAGATCGAGGCAACTTCAGCCTCTTTTGGATGCAATATATCGTATTTTGGAAGGTGGGAAATTTGTAAAGGTTGTCCCTTCCATATGATTCTTGATGTGGTGTTATCTAAAATGTTATGATCAATCTTCAATTGATCGATTGCTTTCATTAATGTGTCAAAATCCATTTGTGGTGGTGCTGGTAACTTTCCTGATCTAGAGGTTACTGTTGATATTGCTTTTGTGGTTGCTGTTGTTAATGATGATGATGGTGGTGATGATGATGGTGATAATGATGATGTTATCGTTGTTGTTGACGACAACGATGGTGATGATGATGATGATGCTAATGCTGATGCGTTGTTGTTGTTATTAACATTGTTGTGAAGATTATTATTGTCGTTATTGCTGCCATTGGTATTATTGATATTATTTAGTGTTGCTTCCATTGTAATGGGATCTTTCAGTATTTTCATCAAATTTTCAACCTTTGCTTTTTTTTCTTTTGCTGCTGATAAAAAAGGTTGTACCTTCTTAACTGATCCACCTTTTCCTTTTCCTTTTCCATTTTTTCCTTTACTCTTTGTTTTTTTATTAGGTTTAGGTTTTTGTTCGGGTGATTGAAATCGTTGAAATGGTGCTTTTTCGTCCAACATATTACTTTCAATTAATTTTTGTGAATTTGAAGTGTATAGTTCGTATACTGTAGATCTTAGTATAAATGACGGTGTCGAACTTGGTATTCTAGGAGGAACAGGATATGGAATCTTACGATGATTACGTATAACTTTGTTATGTCTCGTTACATGACTTGAGGATGACGACGATGACGACGATGAGGAGGAGGGGGAAGAAGATACGGAAGCAGCACCCACTGTCAATGTTGTAATTGATCCGGCCTGGTTAACGTTCCTATCTTTATTATTACCTTTGCCAATATTATTACTACTGCTACTACTACCTTTGCTAACAATATTGTTAATTTTAATATTGTCACTTATAATAGCCGGTGATGGCGTAATATAATTACTATTAATTAGTTTTACGAGGTTTTTAGGTGCATCGCACATCTTCATTCTTACACGGCTAGGTGCTTTTTTAACTTTATCAAGCGAAGATGAAGAAGAAAAAGACGGTAAATTATTTACAATTATTATATTATCATTATTACTATTATTATCGTTATCATTACCAAGATTCCTATTATAACTATTATTAGAAGTTATATTAATAGTATCAGATTGATTTATTATTGACGGTGATGGTGATGATGACGATGAAGAAGCCATATTTGTAGTGGAATTAGTAGGAGGAGTAAAAGTAATTGATGGTGGTAACTTAGAAGAAGAAGGTGGTGGAAGAGGATAAGTATTCGTGTTGTTGGGATTGATCGCGGAAGCAGTAGAAGTATTGAATGAATAATGATTTGGTGCGAAAAAATTATTGTCAAGTGAAGTATCGTTTATAATATTATTATTAGTAATATTATTGCAATTATTATTACTATTGTTGTTAAAAGTTGAAGACGTAGCAGCAGAAGCAGCGATATTAGTAATTAAATTGTTTAAATTGTTGGTACTAGTGGTGGAACAGCAGCTAGGTGAGTATGGAGGTGAAATTGGTGAAGGAGTTTCTATAGAATTAGAAGTATTACGAAAAAGTTGAGTGGACATAATTTTTTTCTTTTTTTTTTTTTTTTAAAAAAAAAAGAAAAAATTATTTGTGTGTGTGTGTAAGTGTGAGTGTGAGAGTGTGTGTGTGTATATATATATAGTTTATATATATGTGTGTAAGTTTTAATCGATTTTTTTCTTTTAGAAAGGAAATAAAGGTTTTTTAAATTCCAAGATAATTTGGAAGAAGAAAAAATTTTTCTATGGGGGTAAAAGGATATGTAATATTTTATTTATATTTTTTTTATTTTAGGCGCAGATGAAGCAAAAAAAACTACGTACGTTATTACGATTACGATTAAGATTGTTACTGTTATTGTTAATATATATATATATAATGTTTATTTATTAATGATAATTGAGAGAAGAGAAGATAAATTAATAATTAAATTTTTTTAAAATTAAAATGAGAAAAAAAATCTTTTGGAATAAAACAAAAAGTGAATTAGTTATTTTTGTCAAGTGTTAGAGCTTAATACTAGTAGTAATAATAATACTAATGACAATAATATTAGATAATGAAAAATGACAAGTTATAATGAATGAATTTATTAAGAATTCTATTTAATATTAATAATATTAATTTATTATTATTATTATTATTATTATTATTATTATTATAATTATAAGTTTTAATGAGTGAAATTTTGAAAGAAGAAAAGAGAAATATAAATGAGATACATTTTTTAATTTATATATTAAATAAATGTAGTATAAAATAAAATATATTATATTTATATATACTGCTATTATATAATTTATTTATACATTTATATATTTGTATTTTATTTGTTATTTAATAATAATAATCGGTATTTAATTAATTGATTTGACTTATAATAAATAATTTATGATGATATCATAACCATTTTAATTTTATATATAAATGTTTAGTTAATTATAATTTTACTGTAACACCTTGAATGTTTTTGTATGTTTGTTTTTTCCATTTATTTATTTTTTTTATTTTTTTTTATAAAATCCTTGATTTCTTTTCTATAAAAAAAAATAATTCTTTAGAAATTTTATTAATTATTATAATTATTTTTTTTTTCAGTAAAGAAATGAATTCATATTACGATTACGATTGCGATTGCATTATAATTATAATTACTATTATTAAAAATAATGAATGACGGATGCATGAGTACAATGATGACCAACAGGGTTTCCGAAATTTACTGGAAATTTATGGAAATTTTATCCGGTAGAGATTACTAATCAAAAAAAAAATAATAATAAATTCTTGCTGATGATTCGTTATCATAATTATTGTTATACTTGCCCCAATAAACGAATATTCTTAAGCCATATATCTGCTTATAAAAATATCATATCCAGATAGCACGAAAAACGCAAATTTCTGAAGCGTGAGCTAAACATGAACGTACAATATTTGGATCCGTTGGTAATAAATTGACTGTTCATAGGTCGTATTGTAGATTGCGTTTGAGAAGAGATTCCGTTTAGGTTTTTGAAAGCTTGCTGTTAGCAACGAAAATCGTAATGCATATTCCAGGAGGACCACAAAAGTTGAATTCGAGTTTTCTTTGTGATAAGGGGAAAAAATTATACAATCATGTATTAAAATTTTTTGAACCCTGGAAAAATACAGAAAAAAATTTTTCCAGTTTTAATTGTAAATAAAAAGTAACAAAATAATTTTTGTAAATAATTAGGATTAATTAATTAATTAATTAACTAATAAAAATTATCAAACAACCCTTTTAGATTGTCTTTTAATGAAATAGATAAAAATAGTAATGTCTGTATTATAATGACATTTTATTGTTATGAGAAAGTTATTCTATGAATGAAAAATTAAATCCATTTATTTATTTATGACAGTAAGATTTTTTTTTACATGTTCAGTTTTACTATTGCATAATATTTTCTTTTTAACGGATTATGTATGCATGTGTATGTGTATGTGTATATCAAGCAAAATTAAAAACATCCTCGTGTTTAATTAATTATTTAGCATGAATTGTGTGACACTTTTATTTCCAAAAAATAATTCCTATCGATTATAAATTTAGATTTGGAGAAAGTTTCCCAAGCATGCGTGTAATGAAAAATTGTGATAAGGGAAGAAAATTGTAGATGATACGATTATTTTTTTTAAAAAAACAATGTGTTTAAAAAGGGGTAGAAGTTACAATTACAAAGGATGTGGAAATGAAAAAGTTACACAAACATTATGATTGAATTTTTTTTTTTGCAAAGTTTAGTTTAGCACACTACAAATTACTCAAAGTAGTTAAATTAATATTATTAATAAGTTCTAAAATGATGATTGATGACGTGAATAAGATTTTTTTTACATTACGTAACTATGCAATAATAAGATGTATTGTTGCATGCTATGTAAATCACCAAAACCTTTGTCGTGAATAAAAAAGTTGTTTTTTTGTAGAGATAAATGTCACACTAGTACTAGAATTCGTTCATTCTTTCTCCCGGCAATTAATTATTTTGTGTGATTTTATTAATTATACAATTAAGAAAAATTTCTTAATAAAAATATATTAATTTACTGTAATAATTTGAAACAAATTGGGAAATTGTTATTTTGCAAATATTTTTTATTTTTATCATTATTATAATTTCAGAATTATTATACAAGAAATGGAATTTGATTTTCATAATAATAAATATTATTAAGAAAACTAACCAATCACTAAATCAACTGACCAACTGATTCATCAATTCATCCATCATTCTCATTCACCTAACCACTTACTCGATCTACCATTTAATAAATCAACCAATAAAATTGCTGAGCAACAATAACAAAAAAAAATTATCCACTATTCTCGGCTAAGTTAATTATTGGTAATGAAAATTTTTTATTTATTATTATGTAAAAACCAATAATCCCGCGAGCGAAAATCGCGGCACTTGTCAATTTTTAAAATTAAATGCTAATAAATAAAAATTTTTTAGAATAAATTTTGTGTCAATTTAAATTGACATCCATTCACATTACATTAGTCTGGTACATTTCACACATTTGCTTTTATCCTTTCCCTTCTCTTTCAATACTTGATAAATAGTATTGTTGAATTGCAATTATCATCTTTTTTTTTTATATTTATTATTTAAATAAACTTTTACCCGTCACATGATTTACTTTGTCGCACAAATCTTCAAGAAACGTGGCAAAAGATATGCAATATTATTTTATCCAAAAATGTAAATTTATATTATTAATAAATAAATATATTAAATAATCCATATATAGCATACAAATACATGCAGTACAACCTTTTTTTTTCATTTTTCAAAATTAAAACTTAATTCAATATAAAAATTCACACGCACTTATTGTTACTGCGTACTATAAATTTTTAATTGGTGCAAAATTTAAGGTTATACTTTGGGGATATACAAGTTGGCATCACAAATCAAAATGTACCACGTGCTGCAAGGGTAACGTAAACAATAAAACATTACGTATATATAAAAGTCGCGATGGTCTTGAGAGAACAGGGGTTCCTCCTAGTAATGATCTGAAAGAAAACGCCTTCCTGTTCTCTATAATCAACTCGCTGAACTGCGGAAGGAAAATAATCTTCTCTTGAAAAAAATCTCAGAGGCGAGTATAGCCATTCGTAACATTGACTAACAGGTTTGACCAGTGTTTGGCCGTCAATACTAATTTTATAACTATGAGATTTGTGCTTTTTTTTTCTTTCTCTAGTATTGTTCCTTGGGAAAAGGGTCGTCGAAACGCCAATGCATGAAATAGAAAAATTATCTTTATTAAAAAAAGAAGAAGTTCTGATTCTCCTAGTGACCTTGCAAAGTCAATAAATTTCAATCGGAAGACTTTGGCCTTTTATATCGGAATTATAGCCTCTGGGGGCCCTGTAACATTGCAAAGTTATAAACCGTACAAGTACAACTTATCTTGATTATAATTTGCAACGTCTGAAAATTTCCTCAGTGAATATGATAGAACAAAAATTTTATGAATATTTTTATGACGCATAAAATATCCCTTAAAAAATGCAATTGCAATAGTTTGAGTGAGGAGGTGTAAGATATATATGTGTCAAGTAATTTGAAGTTAAATCAGAATTAGGAACTGGCAATTATTTGTCCCGCATAGAGAAATATGTAGCTACTCAGATTTCAAGTGACATTAGAAATACCATTCGTCTACCTTGTGTATTGGTACATTCAGCGGGTTAGCATCAAATATTTTTGCCAATCTTTCATATTCAGCTATTATTAATCACGCTTTACAGGTCTGTGATCAATTATAACACACTCTTCCGCTTTTATTCATAAAGAACGTATGATATCAGTAGTAAGATTCTTTGCAGCATGTAAAAAAGCATTGGATAACCTTAAAACATCCTTCAACTCAACTCTCATTTCGGGTGTTGGCAATTGGCCCAAGTCCAATGTACTGCGGAGAGTCCAATTTCTGTTGGCAATGGGACTAAATCCAGTTTTTTTATTCATTGGACTAATTAAACTAGTCTATTACAATCGAAATACTTATGATATTAACATTATTAATTTTCTATATAAAAATAAATCACAATTGTTCAATGTAATATGATGGCCCTAAATCTACAATAAACAAATTGCACAGTTCCCATTTTGAATTATCATCTCTTTGTGGTGTATATGATTTGAAGCATCAGTAATTAAATCTTCATTGATTCTATCATTTGTAATTGCTTCATTTTCATGAAAAGCCATATTTTTCAGCTTCTAACATTTTTTTCCATAAAGATAATATTGATTCAAAATCACAACCTTTACTATTATTATTACCAATTACATTTTCTTCAAAATCTTCAAAATCACATTCATTGTGATTCAAATTTTCTTCATCAGTTTCAATTGAATTAACTTCATCTTGGTCTAAATTTTAGCATTATTAGAGTAATGCATATTTTAATAATCTCAAGCCATGTGTTTGGTTAATAATTCCTCGAAATTGAGCCATTGTGCTATAATAATAATTTGTTGAAATTTACTTATTAAAAATAATATTTAACAAATTTAATAATAGTACAAGTAAATTTTTTGTTGAAATTCTGAATTCTGAATCTAGTTAGTTGTTCAGTTCCAGTCTAATGTTGTTCCAGTGGACCGTTCCGGTCCAATTGCCAACAGTGCTCATTTTTGTATATCAGGACATTCAAATTTTTTTTAAATACAGATTAAAATATTGAATCTTATATCGAACAGTTAAATAAAATCTTTATTTTTGGTTAAACCAGCCCCATAAAAACATCCGGGAAAAATTACATACAGAAATTGCATTTTTTGGAAAATACATCTTGATATTAATACTAATATCAATGCAATTTCTGTATGTTTTGAAAAATTTTTCATAGAGCCGAGAACACACATTTTGATCTTCAAAACCAATTATTTGTTTTGTTAGGCACGAGAAGATTGCAGGTGGTTATTAATTGGGCATATGGATAACCCCTGATGATAATTGAATGTATAAACGCAATATAAATGTAACAGATATGAAATATTTAATCAACACTGCGTTTCACATTCTCCAGGATCCTCAGGAATATCATTGAAAGGACATATTTATCTGAGATAAACAAATAGAAGTGAAATACTAAATAAGCCATTAATTTTTATATTATTTGTTTAGTAAAAATTTGATGATAATTAAATATTTACTTTTCTCTTTTCATCAGATATATTTACATCTCCATGGGCTCATCATGCTCTTTCATAATGTTACCGTCTGGATATCTTATTCAGAACTTGCTTTTACATTCTGGGCTTGGGTATTATTATTTATAGCTTTATTAAGGATGTTCAGAACACACATATCATCATGATTTTTTTGATGTATTTTTAACATGACTTGATATATAAGGATTCTAATGTTAATTTTATGCGCAGCTAAAAACTCGACCATCGATCTATATATATACACGGAATGATAGACCTAACACTATACTTTGTACTACATAAATTATTCTTATTATTTATAGTAATATGGTAATAGTTTTTTATTAAAAAATTTAAAATCAATCGTCAAGAAAAAATCTTTGATTCTTAAAGTTTTGCGGATATTACCGTTATTGTTTTCTATTTTTATTTAGCCATTTTTCACACTTCATAGTCAATAGTCATATATGTAACTATAATAACAACAACAATAATAATTTAAGTTTTTTTGTTTTCCCAATAAAATTAGATAATAAGGCGAGTAATATAGTAAATAGTAATAATAAAAAATATTTCCCCGAATTTTAGTATTTTTAGTATTTAAATTTTAAAAATAATTTAAATAAGAAATAATTAAAATCACAAATAAAATGTAAATAAAGTGCAATTCATTCATTCATTCATTCATTCATTCATTTATTATTATTCATTGATTAGTAACTACTACCGCAGATGTTATTTATTTTTTTATCAGTTAATATCAAGAAAACAATCACACTGCTGCTGCCGCAATAAATTCACGGGTCATTCTCAAGCCCCAAGACAAAAGACATACAAAAATATATTAAACAAAACTAATCATCAATTGGAATTTTGTCTGTATTGATTATATAAAAGGTACAAACCTGCTCTACGAGATGCTTTCCAAGTAGGGTAATTATTTAGTTATTATTTAATAATTCTTTAATTATATTAATATACACAATATAAATTGTTATAATAATTAATTCACGGACAAATACAATTTTGTATTAGTAAAAAAATGAAACCGAGATTTAGACGGCTTAGAAAAGGGAACTTTCGAACTGCAATAATTATTTATTAGATGATTTATTGCCATTATATATTTATAATGGCTCGCAAAAAATTTTGACTTTTAACAACACATCCAAACCAAATAGCAACCTTTAAATACTATAACTATTTCATTTGGACTAATCTTCTAATTACAAGCTTATTTGATAATATCAACAAATCATGCGCAATTAATAAACAGGATTTTTCAATATAAAACATTGTACAAGAAAGAAATTTATCTTCAAAAAGAAAAATTGTCAAATCGATATCGGTAAATATATTTAAATAGCAGAGAACACTTATCTTGGATGTACATAAAAACAACGGCTCAACAAGTAAATAAAATCAATAAAACCATGTTAAGTACATAGAATACGTATTCAACAAATGATGATTAACAGACTATTAATAAAATTATTATCGTGGGAATGAATAATTGAATTTGCTGTACCATTCGCTATCATAGAATAAATTAGTGTTAGATGATATGGACGCACGAAATTTTATTTGTTTATTGTATATTACACAACCATAAACAAAATCAAAGATGAATTCAAATGGTTAGTTTAAAGAATTAATTTAATACAATCAATTCATGTTGAGTATTCATATGGAGTATCTGAAACAAAACAGGGCAAAGTGAACATTGTATCATGCAGGATTACAGGATTCAAATTAGTTAACGTCATATCTAGAAGCATTTAGAAAAAAGAAACGAAGTGGTAAAATTGCATCTTATGTTTTCAAAATAAATGATGTTTTGTTAATATTTCGCATTTTTATTTATTTATTTAGAACTTCACCCTGGATACAATACATGCAAACTAACAATTCTTCTTCAGAAAAATTTAAAAGAGCAAATGGTGGATATATGCTTCGTGATGTATCAAAGTTACACACACTTCTAAAAATCCATATTATCATGCCATTACAACGAAAGGATATGCATCATCTGTCCCTTGGTTCATTTACTCCTGGACATTGTATAATTGGAAGTTACATATTTATCTAGAAATTCAAAGTAATATGATGAATACCTTACATATCATTGGGAAATTTATAATAATATGGAGATGACACAATCAGGTTATGATTGCAACTAATGCCCTCGATATGGGAATTAATGGCAAAAAAATTCGCCAGTAATAAATACATTTTCCTATTGCTTTAAAAATTAAACAGAATGATTCAGTATAACATATCCCTGCAGAATCTGTGATTTTTTATTCCCGCCATGATATTTCCACTAACTATACAATTATAACACAAGGAATAGAATCGTAAGTATTTTGATTTTGTAAAATTAAAGCTAATAATAATTTTTGTATAGTAACTGAAGGTTGTGAAATAGATAAAAGACAAACCTATCTAGTTAAATCAAGAGAAAAAGATATTTGAAGTTGTTTATGGAACAATACAGTCCATTCTCTTTATATTGGATCTTTTTATAACGGACTGTGAATTTAAGCCCAATTTATATGTTCCATATATAAATTATTACTGTTAAAATTCCGAACAAGCCGAGTTGAGCCTAGCTCGAGCCAGCTCGATATATTTTTTTTAACGATTTTGCAAACCATTGAAGTAAGGCAATAATAATAATAAACAATAAATTGTACGAAATACTTGAATTTTAGAGCATTAATAATTTTATGACAGACTAAAAATTTCAAATGAAAACAATTCAAGATTCCATGTTTTGAAAACATATGCATACGGTCCAGCCTCATTTCAACGAATCCATAGAATACATAGGAAAATTGAATTTAAAAATTTGTTATACCAAAATTACTAATCACATTTCAACGAAATTTATAAGTTTTTTCGTTTTATTCGTTCATTCGAATTATTCGTTTCGGTTTTTTCATTCGTTTATTCGTTTATTCGAATTATTGAACCGTTCATTTTGTTCGTTTATTCGAATCGTTTATTCATTACATTCGTTTTATTCGTATATCCGAATCATTCGAAACATTTGTAACATTCGTTTTAGTTGTTTATTCGTTTTATTCTTTTATTCGGATTGTTCGAATTGTACGTTTTATTCGTTTTATTCGTTTTATCGAATTATTCATTTTATTCAATTTATTCGTTAAACTTTCAATGTAATTCGTATACTCAAATTCATAACGAATAAAGCGAATAATTCGAATAAACCTTATTCGAATAGAAATCCTATAGAAAAATGATCCCGAAACTATAGTTTTGGCATTTAGGCATTATATGGGAGGTCTTACCTTTCAGCATAAGGCTAAATGAGTTTTGGCAAGCAACCCTAGGCCATTCAAACCTTCAGTACACACTTCCCTACTTGTGTTTATTCGATTCTTCAGTAATTCTAGGTATATTTGTTGCCTCAAGTGTGGTACAGTCTGCTTCAGCTTTGAATAATTCTTTTTGATATAAGGCGGGATAACCCATATATAGCACTTGGAGCAAAATAAGCTAAGTCTATTGTTATATCACATATTTTTTCAGCAGATAGATCTTTTCCGCAACATGTCTAGCAATATTTTTGATAGTATTCCTGTAACATGTCGTCCAGGTGCTTTGATAAGGATAAGAGCATTTGCTTGATCTTTGCTAAAACTCAATTGATGGGTTCCCTATAAAATTTTTTTCAGAAAATGTATGGTTTTTCCATACATTTTCCGTGCATTTCAAAACATGTACATATTCTTTCTACATCAAAATTCCCTAGTCAAAATTTTCATATTTGTATCAACTTTCTCTTGATAGAATTAATTTTAAATTCCTTGGTTTATGACATTAACAGTAAACATGTTCTTAAAGAAAATATTGAATTGCCTTCTAGAAAACTTCAAAT